AAAGTCTCACTAAAGCATGACTAATGAGTTACAATTGAATCCTTGAACTTTTATTAACCCAAAGGAATGAATCTGTAATGGTGAAATTATAGAAGAAAAGGCAACTGGATAAGAGAAGATGTATTTGGAAAAAAAAAAATAAGTCTATGTGGTTTCCTTTTTTTAGATAGCATTTTTTAGATCTGTACTTGCAAGGGCAACACTGCAATTGTTATTTCTATCTAGGTCCTCCGTGAGCTGAGGAGACAATAATGTGTATATTCCCCTCGGCCTTAAAATCCAAAGAGCTAGGCTGCTCAGAGAAACAGTTACCTGAAACTAGGAGAATAAGATGCTTTTTCTACCAGGTAATGGTTTTTCTAGAATATAGACCATTATTTTTAAAACAGTGCTTTGGAAAAGAATAAAATAAAATAAAAGTAAAATAGTGCTTTGATCAGTAGTGTCATAACTATTGCCTATAGATAAGGCACAAGTTAGAATAAGAAAAAACAAATGCAAACCTTTAAATGCTATACAGCCTCTCTCATTAACCAACAACTTATTCATTGTTGCTTAAGTGACCCTAATTTAGTCCTTGGGGTGAGTTGAATTAACTTGCCCAGTCTGACTCCTGAGGGCTCTGTCTGGTTCACAAGAACTGTGCATAGTTGTTTCAGACCAGAACTTGTCTTTGATCTTTATCAGCTTGAGTCTCTTGACCTGTTTAATCCTTACCAGCTTAAAAAGCTCTTGTTTATCCTTCTAGAATTCCTACTACTAGTCTTTGAGCCTAGATCTGGAGTCATGAACAGAAAGAAAATAAAAGTATATGCTAACAGCCTTGGGCCATGAAGACAATTGTTTCTCTTTCAGAAAAAGTTCTCCAACCACCATCCCAGCCTCTTGCCATATTTGAGTATTCAGAATGTTCAACTTATCCTTTTCCCAACTCAAACTCAGAATAATTAGAAATCAGTTAGAATTTCCAAGCTCAGTTTACTAGAGAACAGTATTTAATGAGGAACATGGTTTTTAAAACCAAGAAATAATGTCTTTTGTATCCCTTAAGTCTTTTCATAGACATTTTACTCTTTACTCTGCCCACCTTAAAATGGGGTTTGTAATCATAACTGTAGCATTGTTTAGATGACTGCAAAGAAATGTCAGGTGGATCAACATGAGAATCCCTTACAGAGACATGAACCTGAAATGATACATTGAAATAAAGAAACATGGCATAATTCAACAGAGGGAGACATGAACTTTGAAGGGTGGGAAATCATATGTGTAAACACCTAGAGGTGAGAATTAATTAATCATGTACTGAGAATAGAAAACTGGTTTCCTGACTTTATCTGGGAACATGATAGAAGATGAAAACTTTTGGAGAAAAGAGAATTAACAAAAGATCTTAAAGTCATGGTTGTAAAGTAAAGCTTGCAGAAGTGATTGAGAGAGAAATTCTTTTCACCCAGTCAATTATGTCTACATTTCTCAGACTTTCTAGCCGTTTCTCCCTATGAATATTGGAAAATTTTCCTGATTTAAATCCTGAACAAATGATCTGTTTATACTGCTAACTTCCTGATACAATGTTAGGCATCCCACAAGTTTATTTATGAAAAATCGATACTGTGCCATCAATACTGCAAACCAATTTCCATCTTAAGGAGTCACTTATGTAAAAGTGTTAGACATTTGTACATTGTTGAAAATAAATTATTATAGCTTCTGGGAATATGCTAGACTAGGTACCTTGAGTGACCTTCTTTCTAAGAATAATTAAAAATGTAGAATTCAAGAATTTTTTAATTGTTTGAATATATTGGTGACCTGGAAAGCTAGTAAGAAATAGTCATGGATCAAAAACTAATTGAAGGCAGGAACCCTGAGGGGTAAGCAGAAGGCTGAAGTCCATGTTCACCTTGAGGGCAAATTTTTTTTTTTTTTTTGCCTTTGAGAGTGGAAAGGACAGATGAGAGAGCCTGAGCTTGCCCAAGTTGGGAAACATAGTAGCAAACAAAATTCAGGTACAGCCTTTCTATGAAAGACTCATCTGAAACTAAACACAGAAAAATTCAGAGTAAAAGGATACAGAAAAATACATCAAGCAAATATCAACCAAAAGTGGGGCACCTGGGTGGCTCAGTGGGTTAAGGCCTCTGCCTTCAGCTCAGGTCATGATCCCAGGGTCCTGGGATGGAGCCCCGCATCTGGCTCTCTGCTCAGCAGGGAGCCTGTTTCCTCTCTCTCTCTCTGCCTGCCTCTCTGCCTACTTGTGACCTCTGTGTCAAATAAATAAATAAAATCTTTATATATATATATGTGTATATATATATATATATATATCTCAACCAAAGGACTAGTGGCATAGCTATGTAAATATCTGAGGAAGCTGTACTTTACTAGGGAAAGTTTACTAGATATAAAAGATTAACATTTGGTACTGACAAACACAGGATACAGGCATAAAAAGGAAGTGAATTAGAGGCGCGTAGGTTGGTCAGTAGATTAGGAATTCGACTCCTGATTTCAGCTCAGGTCACGATCTCAGGGTCATGGGATCAAGCCCCAAGCCAGGCCCTGTACTCAGTGGGGGAGTCTACTTGAGATTCTCCTCCTCCCTTTGTAGCTCCTCCTGCTTGCTCTTGCAAGCACATGCACTCTCTCTCTCTCACTCTCAAATAAATAAATAAATCTTTTTTTTTTTTTTTTTTTAAAGAAAATAAATTAACGCCCCCGTTCAGGAAGATAATCTGGCACTACCTATTAAAATATTTGATTACATAAAACACACATGTGCTTCAACCTAGCTAACCCACTCCTTTCATAATATTTTTCGCCCTTTCTTCTTTATGATTTGGAGACATGACTTTGCTGAATGAGATTAAGTTTTCAGGGAGCAGACAATATAACAGATAAATGATTTAAAGCCTGTAAACGTAAAGGTTGTAAACCCTTATATGCTGAAATGGAAAACATTGACACATGGTTAAATGGAAGAAAGAAGGTCAATAACAAATGTAAGTAAAGGGAAGTTGCAAAGAAAAATGTGGCCATTTTAAGCAGCCTTGTGTTTGACAGACATCAATGTTCAACTGGAAAACTAGCCTCCAGGACTATTTGGAGATCCCCCTTACAGTTAGGATGGAATAAGCCCCCCACCCCACTCCAAACAACAACAACAAAAAAACCCAAAACAAACAAACAAACAAACAAACAAAAAACTCCAGGAACTCCTCTCTGAAAATCAGGACCTCTGATTCTGTGGAACCTGAAATAGACCCAATGACATAGCAAGAAACGAAATGCACAGGGGTATACATGAAGTAGGACAAGAAATTACTATCATGGTATTAAAGTTGGACTCTTGAAGGCTGAATTCCCCATTCTCCCCCACACAAAGCCCCTGACACAGAGCAAGACATTGGTTTTAGACTCCTTTGATCTGGAAGATTTCTCATTCTGGGTGGGCTTCGGAGACCACAGAATTCTCCCAAGTCTCTGTGGGAAGTCAGCAGGCCTGGAGCCCTGTCTGCTCCCTCCATTATCCATTAATGAACTTGTCTATAAGTATTTCACAACTTGTTTGTTCATTTGGGGTAAAAGGAAGTAAAACTAACTTTAGCCAAGTCTTAGTTGGTGCTGGAGGTTTGGCATCTGCCATAAAGATTTTGAAATACTACACTAAGTACAATAGATTTCTTTTTTAAAAATTCCTTACTTGAAAAAAAAAATTCCTTACTTGTTAAACCATTACTGGCACAGTACTCACTGTGTTTATTTTCAACAAATGATAAAACTGCTACTTCTACTACTTCTACTTCTGTACTCAATTCTCAAGAATCTGAGAACTTACAAGTGTATATACATAAAGAAAAGGAAGAGAATCAAAAACTTGGAAATTTATGATAGATAACTTAGTATACAAAGGAAACAACTTTACTTATTTATGGAAATAAATATGATGGCAGAGATCTACCAAAACTCATACACATTTTTCTGCTTAAATTACACATTATCTTGGTGGAAAAAATAACATTCTTCACTCTTTCAGTTTCTTTATTTGAAAGTACGTTTAATTCCAGAGGGATATTACATGTTACACAGATCTTGGTAGGTCCACAACCAAGTCAAATCTAGAGTCAAAGATGCTTCAAAGATTCCAAGAAATGATCTGAAAACAAACTTAGCAAAATGTGTTGGGTCATGTCAATGGTCCATCCAAGCTGTACCCTATCTCTGACGGTGGCACCAGAGAAAGATCTGTAAACCTTCAAGATATCACTCTAAAATGGATAGGTTAGCGCTCTGCCCACCTTACTCGTGCCCCAATATCCCAGCCTCCCTTAATAGCCCAGATAAGTTAATCTGTGTATTGATTCAAATTTTTCTAGAACATGTTTATATCTTCATAGTGATCCATATGTGGGCACATGAATTTATTAAATTTACAACCTGATATCTAAGAGTGGTGGTTTCCTTATTCATTCCAAATACCTTATTAATAAAACAAGTAAGAGAAGCATTTAGAAAAGCATTTCAGATATCCAGTTTCCCTTAAGAATATGAAGAACTGCTAAAACTGAGTTATAAAACATGATCCGTTTAAATATTTACATTAAACCATGAGTTAACAGGAAATATACACAATACAATCTAATTTTGCAATTTTCAAAAGATGTTTTAAAAATGCGATAGTGTACAGTTTAAAGTGGTGAGATATAATTGTTCTCTCCTTTACCTCTATGACTGCAGATTTTACTGCCTGTGGAGATGACCTCAGGAGGCTATCCTTGAGGCTCTTAATGAAAGTGAAGTTCTGGGGATGCCTGGGTGGCTCAGTTGGTTAAGCCACTGCCTTCAGCTCAGGTCATGATTCTGGAGTTCCGGGATAGAGTCCAACATCAGACTCCCAGCTCCTCAGGGAGTCTGCTTCTCCCTCTGACCTTCTCCCCTCTCATGCTCTCTCTCTCTTTCAAATAAATTAAAAAAAAAAAAAACTTTAAAAAAAAAAAAGAAAGAAAAAGAAAGTGAGGCTCAAGCGAAGCAGCCCTCCTGGCTTTGTGGGTAAACCCTGACACCTAGTTTCTAATAATCAGAGATTTGGTGACAAATTCTCTGGTTTCCTGATCCTTATACTTCATAATTGGATTCAAATTTTCCAGGAATGGTAAAAATTAAATAAACTATTCAGGCTGAGATGAAGGAGGAAAAAGGGGAGGAAATGAAAGGATGTGAATGAAAGATTTTTTAAAAAAAGAATTGGCTATGCTTCCTTGAAGGTAAAACTGGCTGGGCAAAGTACAGGATGCTAAGCAAGGCTAGAAAAAACACCAAAAAAGCAAAAAAGTAGCATGCTGTAAGGCAGTGTAGGTAGTGGGCGGTGTGGCTAATCTATCGCAGCTATCTATCTGTATATCTACATCACATCTCCGCATATCTCCAGTATTCAGGAAGTTTACATTTAAGTAAGCTACTGAACTGGACTTCCCCCACCTCAACATCATACATCTGTCAGAGACAACCGCTGAGAGCCGGCAGCTGCGGTGGCTGGTTTCTTGGGGCTTCTTACTGGTTTAGACAAAATACCCAGGACTTTGACATGGGCTTTATTGACTTCAAGCCCACATGTGATGTGCTCTTTCTACTGACCATTTAAGAACTAACCAGTAGCCAAGTCCTCAGAGTGGGAAGATTCCTCTCTAGCCACTTAATATTTTTGGCTATGGCTTCCAAAATCATTTGAAAAATATCCAGATGTAACCCTTGTGCCTTAAGAGATTCAAAGAACAGTTTCACCTGAAAAATAAGCAAGAAAAAAATTACTGACATGGTTCACGAAATACTTGTTCTTGCAAAGGGTTTCAAAAGAGCTTGCAAATTATACATATAACAGAGTAATCCTCTCTCTTGCAAACTTTAAATGGTTATTTTCTTGTCTTTTTTTGGTATAATTAGTATTTCACTTTATCTTCAAACAATGTAAGACAGGAATGATAAATACTCATCTTACAAGTAAGCTCACTATGGGTAAAAATGTTAAATGATCGAGCCAAGTCATATGGTAAGTAGTGGGCCAAGACTTAAGTTCTAGAATTCTGAGTTTCCTTCGAGGGTAAATAATTCAAGATTTATTTTGGAAAGAAGATGGAAAACATTAGAATGCTTTAAAAAAAAAAAAAAAAGTGGAGGGGGCCTGGGTGGCTCAGTGGGTTAAAGCCTCTGCCTTCTGCTGAGGTCACGATCCCAGGGTCCTGGGATCGAGCCCCACATCAGGCTCTCTGCTCTGCAGGGAGCCTGCTTCCTCCTCTCTCTGCCTGCCTCTCTGCCTTCTTGTGATCTCTGTCAAATAAATAAATAAAATCTTCTAAAAAATTAAAAAATTTTTAAAAAGTGGAATTATCAACAACAGTAGTTTTGTTTAAAAAAGACCTTTAAGTACTCTTCCAAGCTTCAATATAGTCACTTCTGAGATCATACACTATGAAGGAAATAATAAGCAAGGACTCATCTCTGAAGTGTAAGTTTCATTTTGAATGTTATGAACACCTGTATTTTAAGAGGGTCTAGTCCTGTCCCTTCCATTTACTGGCTATGTAACTTTGGACAAACTACTCATTTTCTTTTAATAAAATGAGAACTTTATACCAGATTATATCTAAGTTCACTTTCATTTTTACAACTTGAATATTTATTTTTCAGTTGTTAGCAGAAGAGAGTCACAAACCTCTTGCAGCTCATCCTTGGAAGAGAAGTGAGATGTTGGGCCAAAGATGATCATTCTCATAGCAAATGAGCCCAAGTCAAACCTGAAAATGAGAAGAAAACCCACAGATTTAAGTAATAGGAATACTGACCTTATCTTTATATGTTTTTAAAATATAGGACATTAATAACTATATGATAAACTTGTGCAATACAATATATTCTATTAATTACCCTAAGAATTACTCATTCATCCAGTAAAATCCCAAAGCTATGAAATGTATCAAATTTGACCACAAGATAAAAATGAACATAAAGACTATTTAGGAACTGGGGGCGCCTGGGGGGCTCAGTTGGTTGGGCGACTGCCTTCAGCTTGGGTCATGATCCCGGAGTCCCAGGATCGAGTCCCACATCGTGTTCCCAGATCCATGGGGAGTCTGCTTCTCCCTCTGACCTTCTCCCCTCCCATGCTCTCTCACTCTCACGCTCTCTCTCTCTCAAGAAAATAAAATCTTAACAAATATATTTTAAAAGACTTTTTAGGAACTGTGACGATCTTATTCAGTAGTGTTTGTGTTTAAATTTATGTTTATGCTTAAAGTAGCATTCTCTTTTTTTTTTTTATTATGCACTCTATTGGTAAAGATTTTTTGCTGAAGAACTTCCCAATATACGTATTTTTATTTATGTATTACATACATGTTACTATGTTATAGGTTCAACAGAAAGTGTAATAGTATAAGAACTTACATATGTAGTGAGATGTTCTCCTTGCACTCTCATGTACTATCTCGCACACTTCCCCATCCCATTTTGGGGATCCACTGCTTTTTATACACTGTATTTTGTGGGGGCCAATGTTATTCAGTTAAACTCTTCATTTCCAGCCCCAGAATTCATCCTTCACCCCAGTGTTGTCTATAGAGAATTTATAGCATAAGTCAAAGGGATTTGTGCTAAAGAGCAGAGCACAGATACATCCCAGAAATGATTCCAAGTCTAGACTGTGTACATGGTCAGGCATGAGGGTCATTTCCAGTGACAAAGGAAATCTATGGCATTGCAGAAAAAGTCTGATCATATCAGGGGAGGGAACTGATAGTCAAGCCAATGACCCAACCAATGATTCCAGTGATCTTTAAGGAAATACACACACACACACACACACACACACACACACACACACACACATTTTATATATACATAAGTAATATATATATATATATATATATATATATACACATATATATAATAAAAATATACATTTTTTAAAGCAGTTTTTGTTTGGTCCCATGTGAATGTCAAACTCCTTAAAAGCCTGGGAGGGGGTGAAAACGTTCTTTTTGCTTACACAAGATTGTGGGGACTCTGAGTCCTTCATGGCTAACAAATGAGAAGGAAGAGAAACCAGGGGTGACTGAAATCAAAGATACTAACTGACACTAAAATAAACAGAGCAGACTACACAGGTCTCAGATTCTGGATATTTTCCATATAGTTCATAAGTGACATTTTGGTTTTGGATAAGGAATAGCTGAGCACCTTAGCAGGGGTTTGTTGTGAGAGAAAGCACTCCCATCCTACACCTTCCACTGAAGCCTAATCATTATTGGTTCTTTCTGAGGGATATTTTAGGGCCAAGAGCATGCTGGAGTGAACTCTGGTCCTCCCAGGGGTTGAAACCCTAGAAAAGACACAGAACTGATGAAGTTTTAAAGAGGGGGTATCTCCCAAAACACTTCTGATCAGATTTCTTTCATCTCCTCTAAGCTCTCCACTGAGCCGCTTCCACAGGGGAACTGAGGGTGGGGATTAGCGTTCATCAAAATTCCTGAAACTCTCCATGAACAAAGCAGGCAGAATGTGTTTGATGCACTATATATGGATTCCTTGGATTATTCTGGGCTGGTGAGGAAGCTAGGAGGACCATGGTGGCCCAGGAGTTCTTCTTTGCCTGGGATGAGTGAGAGAAATCTCTTTCCCACTCACTTCTCACTCCTCTCCTCACATCTGGACAGAGTAATTCAGGCTATTAAATTTTCAAACGAATAGAGTTCATTAAACTATTTGGGTAGAAATAAGATCATTTATGTGCTTTGGGGAATGCATTATTGTACTTGGTTTCAGGTAACTGAGCCATCTAGGTAGAAGAACACACATTGGATGTAAATGAATACCAACTTTTTTAGGAGATGGGTCCAATTTTCTCTTAAAAAATTCCAGGCTAATTGCTGCCCCTTTGGATTTCTGGCGATCACATAAAGAAGAGTGGACAATTCCTGTGTCTTGATGACTTCTCCTTCCATTCCTAGTTCAATTAATCTGAAGAAATAAAGACCATTTGACTTCTCATGGCACGTGTCATATAATGGAAATTAACTCAGGTTATCAATATATTAAGAGTAGAAGAGAAAGAGGCATGATAAAATTATAATTTACCAAAAACAGTAATAAATTCCTTACTAATATTTTTAATGTTCCAGCTAAATTTTCATTTTTTTCTGACAGTAATTTTATTCACTTATTATTTCAAAGAACTTAATTAGCATCTTGTACAACATCTTATACACAAGAATGCATTCTTGTGTTCACTTTTCTCCAAGGTTTTGAAAGTAAAATGTAGTTATTTGTCCAATATTGGTCACCTGATTAATAACTAGGAATATCTGTTTTGATCATTTGCATTTTGTCCATATGTATTTTTCAGAAGTAAATTCAAAGCAAATCAAATTTTGATTCAATTCTTTTATGACTTTAAAGTTGGTGGTCAATATTTTAGTGATTTCATTGGATTTTTATCAGTTTACTTTTAACAAGTTGGTTTAATTAATGCACTTACTTCTTTAACTTTTCCTGATGTTGGCTGGTTGACAATGCATACAGAATTTTCTTTTTTTCAGCACCTGACATGGACAGTCCATATTGCTCCAAAAGGTAATTCCAACCTATTGTTGTGTGAGCACCCACAGAATACACGACCTCTAAAACATCCGATGGAATGCTGTAGTATGAGGAACAAAGTGAAGGAAAAAGTCCTATGAAACAGCGTAATCCCTGTGATCGCTGGGCATCTTCCTGATTGTAATAAACACCAGAATCCATTTTGCCACCACATACACACTTTTGATGCCCCAAGTCATCGGTTTCCCATCAAATATGAAATCTGGGGTCAAATTTCGGGTCTGTGGTATTGGGTGATGAAGAAATAGACTTTTTTAAAAGGTAACCTCTCTTAAAAAAAAAAAAACACCAACTTTTAACAAATGATCGCTGCTGTTTGTATCTTTAAGACACACTTTCGGAGCTTGGGCAACCCCCCCCCCCCCCCACTTCTACCTTCTGGCAATCTTTCTGTTACCATGCCAATGGTATTAGCCCTCCCACTAAAGGGACCTAAATCTCACTTCCCACAAAATCTATTGAGCACTTACTATATGCTAGCATGAAACAAGGGTTTGTAATTCCCAGCATGGCTTTCCCCTACCATCCCCCCTGCCCCATACCATCTTCACTGAAAGGTTTCAGATCTAACGTCTTGCTTGATCAAAGGCTTTTGCATCAAAGTGAAAGGAACAAAGAACAGGACAGATGTCTAGGTTTACTTTAATTTTCCACTGGATTCCATCCACTGAGAGAAGAGTTCAGTTGCCTTCTGGATGCAAGGAGCATGGTTCAGGTAACAGGCCAGTTTTAGGATGGTCGATCGAAGCATCCTGTCCCAGACAGAGCCCTTGTCACTCCAGCTTTGCCTGTCAATCACTGGCTTAAAATACCGGAGAATGTAATGCTGCGGAAAGAACAGGATGATTTACAGAGAGGCTAAATTTAGTACTTAACACAGCTCTTAACCACCAAAAAGGATCAACTCTAAACTGCCTGCATGAGTCTTGCCCAAACACAGAACTATTTGGCTTTGTATTTTCTCCTCGTTTTCTGGGCCCCACCTACCATATTTAAACAGTTTTTGCATTAAAAATAGGGTTTAATTTCCTATCTGAGGGGAGAGTATCAATTGACAAAAGATAAAATCACATTTAGGAGGAATATTTTGCTCATGGTCCTGATAGGATCTTCTTAGGTTAGTGATGACAAGAAATGAGGGATTTCCAACCACTCAGTGCGGTTGACTGTGCCATCAGCCAGTTCCCTCAGCTTCTTAAAGATTTATCCCCAGAAGTTCACACAAACAGACCAAGTCTCGCCCATCCTCCAGACACTCTCTACTTAGTGAATTTCCTGGAAGTGATACAAACCTTGAGGTTTTCTGTGACATCTGAAACATTCCTTCTCTCCATCATGTGGTAAAACAGCTCTAAGTATTCCAGACCTTTGAGAAGTGCAGGAATGCTTGCTTCATGTTGGAGATAGCGAGTCAGGTCAAGGGCTTTGTCTAGGGTCAACCTTCCTGCACTGAAGGATGAAACAAGTTGTTAGGTGTGTGTACATAACTTAGAGTTCTTACTATTCTTTTTAAGATTTTATTTATTTATTTGACAGACAGAGATCACAAGTAGGCAGAGAGGCAGGCAGAGAGAGAGAAGGAAGCAGGCTGCCCGAGAAGCAGAGAGCCTGATCTGGGGCTCCATCCCAGGACCCTGAGATCATGACCTGAGCCGAAGGCAAAGGCTTTAACTGACTGAGCCACCCAGGCACCCCCAGTTCTTACTATTCTTAATATTAACACAAATATAATCTAGTGAGCAATGGGAGGAGCAGTTCAGCCAGACCATTGGGTTTAAGTCCTAGATCTGCCACTGACTAGTTCTATGATCTTGGGCAAATTACCTAACCTTTCCCAGCCTCAGTTATATCCCTTATACATGAAGGTAACAGTAGTATCTTGTGCTGTTGTAAGGATTAAGACACTTCATTCACACAGAGTGCTTAGAGTCATTCCTCACACACAGTAAGAGATTTATAAAGGAAATATTAGCTAATATTAATATTTAGGACCAAATAATAGCAAGGTTTTCACATGTTGGGTCATTCTCTAATGGTTTCACTTGTGGATTTGAATTGTTCCTCCAAGTGGATTTGGAACTTTGAGGACAGGGCCTCTGTCTTTCCTTTTTTTAATGTCCCTTCTAGAGCCTAACAGAGAAGTAGTGTTTATTCTGAGTAGGCCAAAAAAGGTACTTCCACCTTTTTTTAGAATCTAATTAGATTCCAAAGTTATATGGCTTCTCTGTATTTTCTTTTAATGAAAAGAACAAACAACAAAACTATTATTCTGAATACCAAACATTAGGGCCTCTTCTGCAGAGGAAATAAACCATTATATTGTCATTTTGCAAAGTGGTTCTCACATGTGTTTCTGACAGAACTTGTGTCTGCACATGGTCTGTAAACTATTACTGCCAGCATTCAACTCCCAGATTAAGCATAATAGTCTGATATGGAAACAGATTCAAGAACAAAAGACGTTTCTGTTGAATTTTCATTAGCATAATGCTCTACCTCCTTTGGGTTTTTAAATGTTCAATTTTTATCTAAAAAGAGGAAACCGAAACTAGCAAGAAGTGAAATTAAGAAGAACCAACTCTTGTGACTTTTCTTAAACACAATTATATACTGCTTTCAAACAGACTTATGGAAAAGTTTCCACAGTTTTTGTCTGAAGACGGAGGGCTGAACCATATGCACTATGATTCTATGGTTTGCTGTATTTTTTAGTGTATTTATCTACGAAACGTCACGATTCCTTCCCTCGTGTGTTACTGTCATGCTGTACAGTGTAGCTGATACCCTAGAGGATCAGCAACAGGAAAAACTAGGTAAAATATTCCAGGGTCGCAATTTAAAAAAGGGTGTTGAACACAAAAATTACCTTATATTAATCCTGTTCTTCTTATTTGTCAAGCCTAATTTGTTTCTTACAAAAACAAACACCATTATTTACTTTTATACTTATCTACTCAAAAAAAAAAAATCAATCTTAACATTCATTTAAGAGGATTACTTTTCTTTTTATGTAACTATTGTTTAATAAAAAGCCAGCTCCTCACCAGCAATCATCACGCAAAATGTTACCTGAAGGTTGATTCAGCTTATAAATAAATAAATATATGAGCTTATACTTTAGCCCAACAGAAAAAAAATCTGTATCTTATTAGTACACAGTTCTATACTTATGAGTATACAGTTTCAGCTATTTGGTACCTTTGTGAAATAAAACTATATTCCTGAAAAGCCAATTTGGGTGTGGGACTAAAAGGAACAAATAGTTTTTCTGTAAAGAATTTAAAGTTGTTGTTTCAATTCCATTCAACCCAGATGAAATTCAAGTGTTAAGTTATACTTAATTAATATGAAAATGCGATTAAAATAAATATCCATTCCTTGGCCAAATTCTGTCCTCAGACCAACTATGATCTCTGATTACTTCTTTTAACTCTTAAATAGATATTTTATAAAGCAGGGAAGATGCGGTAAATATTAAGGGAGAGTAGCAAGTAAAAATACTTCGATCTATATGAGAGGTTTTTTTTTTAATTTTTTTTTAAATTTTATTTATTTGACAGAGAGAGATCACAAGTAGAGAGAGAGAGAGAGAGAGGAGGAAGCAGGCTCCCTGCCCAGCAGAGAGCCCGATGCGGGACTCGATCCCAAGACCCTGAGATCATGACCTGAGCTGAAGGCAGAGGCTTAACCCACTGAGCCACCCAGGCAGCCCCTATATGAGAGTTTTAAATTGTTTCCTTATTGACCTAGTTTTATGATAAGGAAACAAGCCTCATAATTTCACTACACATCACATTCACTAATAGCACTTTGGAATATTTCCTCCTTTCTTCCCCCCAACTTTTAGCTAATTTTTTTTTTTTTTTTTTTTTTTTTTTGGTCAGGGACAGAGGGAGAGAGAGCGAGTGAGCACAGGCAGACAGAGAGGCAGGCAGAGGCAGAGGGAGGAGCAGGCTCCCTGCCGAGCAAGGAGCCCGATGTGGGACTCGATCCCAGGACGCTGGGATCATGACCCGAGCCGAAGGCAGCCGCTTAACCAACTGAGCCACCCAGGCGTCCCAATATTTTTTTTTTTATATAGTTGCAAACATAATAATACACAAATTCAGATTCTTCTTTTCTCCAACTTCACATTATTTGAACTACATTTCTGTGCTGTTGCTTCATCTTCCTCTTCAAAACAGGAAAATTGTTTTCAACAGTTTTTATTAGATAATACTGAAACTACTAATAGTTAACATTTATTGAACATTTATTGAACTGTGCTTCGTGCTTTATTGGCATTATCTTATGCAATCCTTGAAACAGCCCTTTATATTAGATATTATTACTTAAATCTGGAATTTTAAAGACTAGAGAAGTTCTAAAGACTAGAAAATTTAGGCTTGAAATGTTTAAATAATTTGCCCAAGGTCAAAGAAGAATTGAAGAGATAATATTTGAAGTCATCTATTTTAAACCAAAATTTGTATTCTTAACTTCATTCACCTGGCCACCTCGTCATGAAATACTGTTTTTCCACTGATTCATTAATAACTGTAGGGTTCCTTCTGCTAAATTTAGACAGCCCATAAATTTATTGGCAGAAACAGCAAAAGAGATTTTGCAACTATTTGAAAGATTGGTTTTCATTGTTAAATTGTCAATATTCTTCAGTGTTCCTATTCCTACATTTTTAACTTATCTTCTCTGCAATCTACTCAGAGCTTCTCCTTTGACCAGACAGACCTCCTCCAATGAACCGTGGCTTACTTCCCAGCTCGTCTATCATGTAACCATCCCTACAGTTGTGGGATGGCCACATTCCTGGCCCATCCTGCCTTCAATGTGATCTGCTACAAGTGTTCCTGAGACATGTGAGGCTGAAGATTAAGCTTTCAATCTCTCCTTTTCTCCTTACTAGAGAATTCTGTTGTTGTACAGAGAAGCTTCTCCTGAGAAATGTCCTGCTGGTTACTCTCACTCAATTTGACCTAGATAAACATCTGAAAGGAAATAATATGTCACAGTGAATAAAATGAATATAGTAATTCTCAGAATAGGAAAAGCTTACAATGCACATTATTTCACCTGACTCCTAATTTTTTTCCATTGGGGATCTTGTGACCTGATTTATTCTACATATTTTTCTGCTGATGATAAATGAGAAGAGAAAGAAAATACTTTGTCTTTCCAGGAAAGTATAAGGAGGAATAAACATAAGGAGCCAATTTCTCCTTCATTTCCCTTTCGATTTCATATTGATTTCTTCGGTGTGAGCCAAGTAACAAATGGATTGCACACTTGATTTAACATTTAAAATCATAAAGGTCAAGACTATATTACACTTTTTTTGTTCAACAGATTACATAGGTATTTGGTGAAACAGCAAGCTACTCACCTAAATTTTAAATCTGTAGTCAAAAGCTTAAATGCTTAGAGGGTCCACCCTAAGTGACTGAAACAGGTCACTCATGCACCATTTGGGACTTTGGTGCATGGGACAGTAAAAAGTCTTGCTTCAAGAAGGACCCGCCCGCTGCATCCTCCTCTACGTGGGAATGAAGGTCCATAGTTGCCACATCTTCTCACATTCAAAAGAGACTCCAGAAGTCAGGATTTGCACATAAATTTCCCCACATTTTAAAATGTCGGATTACGTGTTTGAATACTGTATTGGTCAAAAACCTTATCAGTAGATAAGCTTTGGTCTAGTGGCCAATATTTGACCTTCATTCAGATCCATCGCATACGAATGAACAATACTGAATGTTTGATTTTAAAATCTATCATATCTGGTTATGAATAAGTTATTTCCTGTGAAATGGAAAGAAATTTTGCATTACCTTACTAGCTGAAATGCATCATGAATCAGACCTACTCTGTCCTTAGGTCTGAGAAGTGTGTGGTTCTGATTCAGCTGTGTGATAAGTTGGTCCCATCCGTGACCCTCATAGTGAGCAATGTAGTAGCCATTTGAGTCCACGTTGAATTTCACCCAGCTGGTCTTTTCAGATAATTCCAGAGTATCTAGGAGGAAGAAATTGGCATAGCGTTTTATTAACAATATACATACCAGGAACATCTCCAAAACTGTTAGTTCTCATGTTATTACTAATTAATCAGTAGGAAGACAAAGTTTTGGAAGAATCATTATGATATTCATTTTCATAGTCTACTGAATGGGGGTTTTTTTGGTGAATTATGGTTTTATTAAATTAATAAATAAGTAAATTTGTTCTCAAAAGCAGTCTCTGCAGGTCTAAGAGGCCCAGTTCATCAGATAATAAGCATGATCGGAGTTTTACTTATTTGTGGCCTTGTTACTGGTCATTGCAATATGTATATGTAGATAGGTGATCCATTTGTCTAGTCCTCATTTTGGATGAAATAAAGATTCCAGGTTGAACATGACATTATGACGGAAACCCTCTCATATTTCAGTGAGGTATTCAAAAGTGAAATTAAAATTATATTATGTATTTTTAATATGACAAACATTATACTATGTCATCAAAATAACATTATCATAATCTCTCAATAAATCTGTGAGACTTAGTCCTCATTCAAAATAAGATGAGAGAATTGAAGCTCAGGAGGAGTAAAGAAATTGTCTGAGGGTCACACATCTAATAGGTGACATAGTAAGGAGTTGAACCCAGAACCAATTCATTCCAAATTCATTCCAATACATATTTTTGCCTTGTGGCATAAGAGCTGGGTTAGTAGTTTTTAAGAGATATAATTTCCTCATATAAATACAAACCTATCTCTGAATGCTAAACGCCAAGAAAACTTCCCCCTGCATAGAAAATTCAAATTTTCCAACTAAGGAGTTCTTTTAGTAATTAATAAATGGAGAAATGAGGACTTCCCTGGACATAAATCTTTTATTTTGAAATTTACTTACGGTAACTTTCCTCCACATAGCCCAGAACATGTTTAATTTCAGAACTGAAACACCTATTTGGCTAATGAGTTCATTACCTGTCCTTGATTTTAGAACGTGTCTATGGATCACATTCGAGGAACTTGTGGTGTAGGTCAATGGAATATGCCACAGGTACCTGTGTCAGAAGATGGAGATGGTTACAGACTAAACGAATGGCCCTTTTAATGTTCACATTGTCAGACTCAGATTGGTTGTAAAAGGCACTTAATGGCCCATCTTTCACACCACCAGGGGCCCTATAAATTTTACAGGCTAAGACTTACAGATCCTTGAGTATGCAAAAATTCTTCCATACAATTATAGAGGTGCAGGCACTATATATACCTGGTTGAGCTCTGCCACAATTATCTGTGCCATTGTTGTCCAAATCTCATACCATAAATTCTGCTGATTGTTTTCTTCTAAGCAAGAGAAAAAAAATCCAGTCTTCCTTTCATATTTCCAAAAACTCTGGCAGCCTGATATTAATTCAAACAACCAAAGGAAACTTCAAGAAAAGCCTCAAGAGATAAAGATCTGACCTCAGTATGATTTCCACTTATCCTTTTGTTCAACACAGCTACCCACACCCCACCCCTGCAACTGGTAAGTAACTGTAAGTAGTCGCAACTCTGCAATCTAGGATCTGCTGATCAGCCAAGTCCAGAAAAGCCGAATGGATTGGAGGGAAAGACCAATTTCAATGGTACTTTGGTTACTTCTCAGTGGTCCTACTATGATAAATAACAGAAATTGGCTGGTGTATTTTTGACTTGCTAGCAGGTTCTACAATTCCTCTATCGCCATCAAGCCGTATTAGCTATAGTAATCTTGTACATGTAAAATCAAGTCCTTGAAAATACCAACAGGTGTAAAACAGAAAGGAATAATTGAGGATGTACCTATTAGTCTTCAGAAAAATATAAAACAATGAAAGAAATAGCATACGTAGACTTTAATCTAGTAAAGGGTCAGAAGGGATAATCTACATGCTAACTCATAAAGTATCGATAATTAACAAAGCAATTGAAAAATTTATACAAAAAGGTAAAAACGGACACATAGATATTGCCAAGATTTAACAGAATGATCTGGATTAACCTTGGCTCCAGAAGGAAAGGAATTTTTTCCAGATAAACATAGCTGGGAGTGAAAAAGAGGGAAAGTAGCATTTCATGAGTTTGAATAAGCATGAATCAGATGATAATAATTTTATAAGAATCATCTAAATACAGAGGAAAAATACAGATTATTGTAGTAGATATTTGTTACTGTGGCCCATCCGCAGCATTGAACTCCCTTGTGGCAGTTTGATAAGTTACAAAAGTGTGAATCCTGCCTGCCCAAGAATGAATCAACATTAAATTTTTCAGGTTGTGTTGTCAAGATATAAATTGTTTTAAGCTCTCTGAGGTTCAGACTTTAGAAGGACATACGGAAAAATGAAATGCGTAGATAGAGAAGTGGTATAAAAGTTGCTGTTGGATTGGAAATGGGCAACTGACCAAATAGAAAAGAAAAACAACATATTGTCTGTGTTAAAGACTTTGAATTTGCTTCTGATTGTCAGAAAAATTCTAGAATTGTTATGAGACAGATACATCCCTAGAAAAAGAAATAACAATAAGAGCCAGAACAGATTCACTTGTATTATTTCATTTTAAAATTGACCTCATTCATCTTATGGATGGAACTAATAGATCAGAGAAATGTGGACAGTGTTGTGTTTCTTGATTTTAGTAAAGCCTTGAACGTGGCTTCTTGGGATAGGCTGGTGAAGGAGATATGATAGTACGGTTCATTGGATTCACTTTCATTATTACCAAGACACAGCATATGTTTTAAGACAACCCATTCACAGTCAGTTACTGAAAAACAAAAGGCCACAGGAGGTTGAATTCACAGGATTCACAGGAATGTAATTCACCGCTAGGGGATATATTTTCCCTTCTGATAGGATGTAGAACTGTCGTAACAATTTCTATGTATGTGCTAGTCACCCAACCTATGAGGCCCCAGAAATCTAGGATGGAAATGAGTGAGACATATTTGAACAGAGCTCTGCATCAGTGCCCAGCAGCTGCTGCAGAATTATCAAGAACACAAGGACACAGTAACGCTGTCTGGGGCCCAGCCTGAAGCTCTTTCAGTCTGTTACCAAGGCTGGGTCAGGCCTCTGCTGCCTGTGTAGAAAGAGCATCCACCACGTTGCCCAAGAAACTAAAGAGAGCTCATGAAACAAGGAGCAAGCGGAGATGCAGTGACCTAGGCGAACAGAAGAAAAGCAGCCACCTTTCCTGCAGGGCCCTCCATTCAGGGTCCTCTTTGGAAACCCCGCTCAGGAAGCGCTCCTGCTGCAGCCTGAGGGAATGCCCTTCTCGTGTGATCACCACCAGGGGAATTCCTTTCTGCAGAGTCCAGGTCGCCATCATCTCCTTGAGCTCCGCGCTTTCCTCTCGGAAGGCGAGCTGAAATGACAAGTGACTTCGGTGACTCCAGACGGAGGAGAGAAGCCCAGGAGAGCAGAAACGCACATCTCCCTGGATGGCGGAAACAAGGCTTGAGGAGGAAGAGGGGAGGCCTCAGGCTGTCAGCTCAGGGCTGGAACTGGAGCCGGGCTGCCCCAGCGGTGCTCTCTGCAAGCTGACTGAAGGAGGGATGTATGCGGCAGCTAGAGGGTTAACCCGTGGTGGCAAAAGTCCCAGAGGAAGGCCTTGCTCTAGACTGGAGCTCCCTCCTGCTCCACTGCAAACCAAAAACCCAGAAAACAAAACAGAACAAAAACACCTCTCCATTTTAAGGACAGTGGAGTGGAGGTGTTTCAGAGAGAAATGTCTATCTTTAGGGGAGCTTTAAATACTCCAAAAGAACTGTATTATATCAATAGATGTCTACTGAATGGAGAACAAAACCTCTAGCTTCCTAGCTTCTCCTATGGATTTCTGATCACTGAATTATGCTGAATCTTCCTTTAAAAACTACAATTTATGGGATTCCTGTGCCTCTTCTTAAAAAGAGTTCCTCTTTTCTTCCACTAAAGTGTTCCACTAACTTCCCAGAAGTAAACAAAAAGACAGGGGCCTCTAGAAAACCATTCACCCTATTTCCAGACCTAACATATTTGGTTTGGCATTTTCCTGAGCCTGGAGGGTGCCAAGACAGCACTAACCAGGCAGAGGAATTCTGAACCGAGATATTTTTAGCTAGCAGTGGGGTTGTGGGAAAGCTGAATTGTAACAAAAATATAGTAGTAACAGCATCACCCGCCTAAGAGGCCTGAACATTCCTTTTTCAGTCAACTTTGTTTCAAGGAAAACTGTGGAAGTCTCTTCCTTCCCAGTTACTTAAAGGGACAGTTGATGGGGCGCCTGGGTGGCCCAGTCAGTTAAATGTCCAACTCTTGCTTTCAGCTCAGGTCATGATCTCATGGGTCAGGGGATCAGACGGAGCCCCACATCAGGCTGCCCCACCGAATGCGGGACCTGCTTGAAGAGTCTCTCCCTCTGCCCCTCCCCCCCCAGCACCCTCCCTCTCTGTCTCTCAAATAAATAAATAAATAAATAAATAAATAAATAAATCTCTTTTAAAAAAGGAATAGTTGGGCTCCTCTACATAATCACTTCGGATCACGTGACACCTCAGATCTCTTCTCCTCTAAGTTTTTTTATACTTACTGTATTGCTTGTCATCTTGGAATCGGAATAACAAAATTCACCAGATGTAAAATCACCTAGACAATTCTATAAAACAAGAATGGAAGAACACTGCCATTTGGGTACTGATAGCTGGCTAAATATGCTTACTAGACATGAATACAGACACTTAATAGCATAGCTCTATGAAAATTTAATTGCTCCAGACATGGTATGGAGCATAGTAACTCATGAGAAAGGGGGTAAAAAGAGCATCTTGGTAGTGACCATAGGAAAAGTTACTTATATACATAAAACAAAAAGTAATTTTTGTGGATTTCCTATGGTTGCTGCAAAGGCGCCTTTTTTTTCCATTTTCATGAACTGTTATGTTCCTTACCATGTATATCTAAATCAATTAAATATATATATATATATACATATATATACATATACACATATTTCAAGTTTTCTAAAGAAGTACAATGTAGCAGAATGATTGTTGTAAAAATTAATTAGTTTGTTGAATTTTTCTTTCTGTTTTCTCTTTCCCTTGGGAAAGGTCCTACTTTATTCTTTTATTGTGCGTGCTGCTCATGCCCCTATTTAGCATTTAGGCAACTGTGTCTAGTACTAAACTTCTCCTATCATATCACAAATCCCTTGACTGGGGAGGGGAAATGCCTCTGCTTACCTGGGCATTCCTAATGACTATCACAGTAACAAAAGAATAATAAACTTTGAATTCAGAATTAAAATGAGACCTAAGAAAATCAACAACTTGTCAACGCTTAGATAACTAAGACTTAATGCTTAAGGGGAACTGTACATGGAAAAATAACACACACACTTTTTAAGGCTCTCAAACGCTCTTAAATGATTTTATGAAAAATAACAAAGAATTCCTCTAATTCCCAAGTTACTATTGACACGTGTTAGAAATGATGTGATGTGACACAGTGTTGAGTAAGATATTATCATTTCATACCACAGTTTCAATTGGCATCAGAAAGTGGTCAACTAGACCTGAGGACCTTTAGGAAAAGGTTAGACGGAGACTTTCCTGATAACTAGGAAGAAGTTGTGAAGTTAGGAAAATGAATACTGAGCTTGGAATCAGAAGATAGATCTCAAATACTGACTCCATCATTGCATGTGTCTATATAACCTTGCACCAATTTCTCCCTCAATATTATTTTTCCCACCTATAAAAATTGGGCAAGAATGCCTACCTTACCTTCTTGAGATGGCTAATAAGCATAATGTGACTAAAATTAATATAGGAATATCCACAGTTGGCCTAAAAAAATCCTGCAATTCTTGGCCAAATTTCTCCTCTAATAACCCCTTGATACCCACTATGCACACCAAGGATATATTTTTCTTGTTGAAGAAAGGCAAGGTTGATGTCCACACACACACACAGCTAAGGAGAAAGAGAAAGTGAGGGATGGGAGAGAAAAGCAACATGAGGCTTGTTGAGAAGTTTAGGAGGACTCTGGAGAGTGAGCATCTAGATTTTCAGCAGGAAGTGATGGAAATGGATAAAAACATTTACATAGGTTGTACTAAAGACTCAAATGAGATAATGCACTTGAAATATCTTTTTAAACTATTAAGTGTTATATAAATATTAAACAATACTATGACTGTCCCTGGGCCATAAAGTGCTTACAAAGTAGAGAGGAACTCTTCTGTCTACAATGGCTTAGGGTTTGTCTATCTCTCTGCGTAAGCCTGCCAGTCCAATGCATCTATAAAAGATTATTTTACTCACTGTTGAAAATTTAAGGGTATTTTAATAATTATTAGAATCATCTGAGCCAACTACATGTTTTCTTCATTTTACTTATCATACTACATGAATCCCAATGACACAAGAGACCAAGTGTTCCTTCATTAGCAATTAACTGTTCATTAATCACAATGCTAGATGACCTGGCACCTAGAATAGATATGATTCTTGTTCTTTTTTTTTTTTTTTGACAGAAAGCATTTTTTTTTAAAGATTTTATTTATTTATTTGACAGACAAAGATCACAAGTAGGCAGAGAGGCAGATTCTTTTTTTTTTTTTTTTAAGAATTTTTAAATTTACTTGACAGAGAGAGAGAGAGATCACAAGTAGGCAGAGAGGCAGGCAGAGAGAGAGGGGGAAGCAGGCTCCCCACCGAGCAGAGAGCCCGATGCGGGGTTCCATCCCAGGACCCTGAGATCATGACTTGAGCTGAAGGCAGAGGCTTAACCCACTGAGCATCTGAATCACCTAGGTGCTCCGATATGATTCTTGTTCTTAAGGAAATTTTATTATTATTACTATTGTTATTATTAAACTATTATAAGCTATTAAAAGACGACATCACTGTGGGGGATAGATTCGTAAACGCACTTCTAGGTATTGAGCAGAAAGACAAACCACTGGGGCGCCTGGGTGGCTCAGTTGTTAAGCTTCTGTCTTCAGCGGGGGTCATGATCCCAGGGTCCTGGGATCAAGCCCCACATGGGGCTCTCTGCCTGGCGGGAAGCATGCCTCTCCCACTCTGCCTGCTTGTGTCCCCCCTCTCGCTGTGTCTCTCTCTGTCAAATAAATAAAAAAACTTTAAAAAAAAGAAAAGAAAAGAAAGGCAAACCATTGAAGGGTGGAGTAGTCTGTAAGGAGAAGGTAAATTCTCAGCTAGAACGTAAAAGATGGATGGTGTTTGAATTGTTGGCAAGAAGAAAGGGTCCCCAGGTAGCGAGGACCCTTGAAACAAAGACGTGATGACGTAAGGATTTAGCAGGATTTCTTCCTGTGAGGGAGGAAATGTGTCTCACGCAATGGAGAATACATGCTGGACACTAAAGTTGAAAAAGTAGAGTTCAACCTTAAAATTGGGGCAGAGAAGTTTAGATATTCATGGCGGGGATTACAAAGTCATTAAAGATTTTGGAGAATGAGGAGATAAAAGTATTGGGTTAACCTTAGAAGGAAACCAAAGAAAAGGACACCGGATACCAAAGGCCTGTGACTACCCCAGTGTGGATGGCATCTGGTTCCAAAGGGAAAAGAACGTGCTGCCTTCAATGCACCTGGCAGTGTAGAAAGTGGAATACATGTTGGTTGACGGACAATACAACTATTTATAAACCTTTATAATTAGCCTATTACATTTTAGATTTACCAACAGTCTACTGTTCCCCAGCATATGACTTACATTTGACAGACTGTTCCACAAATCATCATTTTTAGCATTTCCATAACTAAATGTCTTTAAGTAGTGAATAATTCCTTTGCGGAATTTCTCCTCATTCAGAAAATCCTTGAGCATATTCAAAATACAAGCTCCCTGAAAAAAAGAAAGAAAGAAAGACAAAAAAAAAGAAGATAAAAAGATAGTATGATTTGTTTTTTAAGGGAGCTTAAACTGTACGGAACATGGGTAGTGTCTGAAAACGGAACGTCAAATACAACAAAACTATAACCAGTGGCGGAAATCAGCAACCAGTAAGTTCAACTGCTGATCTTACAAGCCTCATTACATTTCTCCTGAAAGCAGAGCTCCCACAGCATTTACTACCTTGTTATAGGAAACGGAGTCAAACATTTCTGCTATCTGCGTAGGAGTTTCAGCTTGATTGGAGATAGGACGGGATGAATTTAATGAATCTTTTTTAATTACTGTAAAACACACGTCTGAAAAAGCATCATCCTAAAGAGGGAAGAAAATGTTTTCACTTTGAATTTGACATTTCAAAGCAGTACAAAACACAGTAGGCTTACCAAGATAATCGTAGAAATAGTCATTTCTTAAAATTGATTGTAAGTTTCTTTCCCCTTATATAGTCCCCTGCCACCAACTCTCTACTTCATAAAGGCATAAATCCAACATTCCTTCAGACATTGTTTGAATGTGTACCACATACTAGGCCCTTGGATACAGAAATAAAATGGTTCCCATTTGGTGAACACTTGCTATGGTCCCCCAGGCCAGGACCTTATCTGTGATCCTTTCAACACCCTGTAGAGTAGATGCATTATGTGCTCTTTGCAAGTGAGAATATATGAAGCTTTGGGACTCCACCATGGATTCAACACATAGCAAATAAAAAGACACTGACTTGGGGCTCCTGGGTGGCTCAGTGGGTTAAGCCTCTGCTCTCGGCTCAGGTCATGATCCCAGGGTCCTGGGATCGAGCCCCGCATCGGGCTCCCTGCTCATGGGGGAGCCTGCTTCCTCCCACCCCACCCACCTGCCTCCCTGCCTACTTGTGATCTCTGTCAGTCAAATAAATAAATAAAATCTTTTTAAAAAAAGAAGAAGAAGACACTGACTCTGAATCCATGACTATCTGTACCATACTGGACCAAATGCCTACCCAAAAAGCTAAGTAAACATTACAAACCACCTTGATATGAGTGTTCAGACTCTTTATGTGTAAAGAAAAAGACATGTTTGAAAAAAATCTTTTCATATATTTTAGGGAAGTGAATAGGCAGGCCTTTTGAAAATTCTAGAAGAGTGTGCCCCAACTATGCTTAATTTTCAGGTTACGTGCCAAGAACTCTCCAGAGGATCTTTAACCACGAGCCCCATCTCATCCTACACCATTGTTCATGGCCAGTGACTTTCTTTCCTCTCACCTCACATCACAGCTGTATATTTGTGCTATTTGAGCTCTCTGTCCATAGATTTCTGGGTGAGAGATTTATGTTATGGGCTGAATTGTATATGTGGTATGACATACAAAATTATAAACTTACAGATTGTAGCTCTGGATATGTGGCATTAACAGAGACGAGTTCCATGTATGTTGCAAAACCTTCATTGAGCCAAATATCATTCCACCATTCCATTGTAACCAGGTTGCCAAACCACTAGGAAGCAGAGACTCAGTGTTACTAGAAGTTAAACAAATATTGGGGTTCCTGGGTGGGTCAGCTGGTTGAGCATGGGACTCCTGACTGCAGCTCAGGTCAAGATATCAGAGTTGTGAGATGGAGCCCTGAATTACCCCCTCCCCCGTTCTCAGTGAGGAGTCTGAGATTTTCCCTCTGCCTCTCCCTTTACCCCTCCCCCAGGCTCATGCACATGCTCTCTCTCTCTCTCTCTCTCTCTCTCTCCCTCTTAAATAAATAAGTAAATCTTAAAAAAAGAAATTAAACTAATATAAAAAATTATTAACTAGGAAAAAAATATAATGGATGCTGACATCCTTCTTTCAGTGGTTAAGGCCTTTTCTCTGCCGCCCTTTTCTCTCTGTACAACTTCCTTCTACTGACTGCTTTGCCTTCTCTTCTCATCACCACATTTTTGTTTCTTGTTTACTTTTCTTTGTGTCCTTATTGTCTCCAACTCTCCAACTTCCATTTTATCCTCCCAACATTTCTTAGCTATTAGATTTTATTGAGAAAAAGATATACAATCTTACCTCATCCTTGATTTATGGTGATGGTCTTAGGAGAGATCTAAGCCAAAATATCTTTGGTGAAGTCACTTCTTTATATTAAGTAGCAAATATTTGCTTTATATTTAAGTAGCAAATATTTCGAATTCTTACAAAATCGTTTAGGACTCTTGGATTGCTACATGGTATTACTGATGAGGGAATTTAGTTGTTCACTTTTTCTCTGACTTCTTCCAGGGATTAACCTGGACACTAAAGCTAAAGTGAATAAAGTTTTGAGATTTTAAATATATAAAAATAAAATTAACAGGATGCCACAAGGAAAGCTAAACAGCAATTTACCCTTGACCTATATTTGATCTGTAACACTGGCTTTAAGTATTACTACTTTTTCACATACTTTTGTATTTTATTTAACCTATGTGCCTAGGACAATCCATCTAGTTTATCTGTTTCAGGATTGCAATCTCCAGAGAGTTGGGAAATTAAACAAAAAGATTCTAAGATTCAGGGACACCTGGGTAGCTCAGTTGTTTAGGCATTTGCCTTCAGCTCAGGTCATGATCCCAGGGTGCTGGGATCAAGCCCCACATCGGGCTCTCTGTTCAGCGGGGAGCCTGCTTCCCCTTCTTTCTCTCCACCTGCCTCTCTGCCTACTTATGATCTCTCTGTGTCAAATAAATAAATAAATAAATAATCTTTTTTAAAAATGGATAAATAAAATCTTAAAAAAAAAAAAGATTCTAAGATTCAGAAAAGACTTCGTATAGTTATAGCTAGATATGTAGCTTCCAGAAACTGTTTAAGCTCTATTTCTTTTCTGACAACCCTCATATCATTTTGCAAGTGGGCACCAATCTTCCTGAGAGCATCTGTGAAAATGGATGGGAGGTGTTTCCTTAATTGGAGAAGTGATGAATATGAAAAACCCAACTTGAGCTATTTTTGATAATTGACCAGTTAGTAAGAGTGGTTTATTCATTCATTCAATAAATATCTTTTTTTTTTTTTTTTTAAAGATTTTATTTATTTATTTGTCAGAGAGAGAGAGGGAGAGAGAGCAAGCACAGGCAGACAGAATGGCAGGCAGAGGCAGAGGGAGAAGCAGGCTCCCTGATGAGCAAGGAGCCCGATGTGGGACTCGATCCCAGGACGCTGGGATCATGACCTGAGCCGAAGGCAGCTGCTTAACCAACTGAGCCACCCAGGCGTCCCAATAAATATCTTTTGAGAACCCACTACGTTACTGGCAACGTGCCCTATGTTAGAAATAGAAAGCTGTATACAATACAGCCTCTGCCCCAATACAAATGATGGAGGGCAACCGATAGATAAATGCAGTAAAGCGGTATGGTGCTATGATCAATGCCTGTACGAAGGGTAGAGAGGATTCCAGGAGTTAAAAATAAGTTCTTTTGGGGAGAGTGTGTAAGTTAGTTAGGAAATTATTCATTTCCTGCCTCTTACAAGGGGTCACAGGTTTGTTGGGAATAGTGTGTGCTCTAGGCAGATGAAGTAGCAAGAGCAAAAGCATAGAGAAGCGACACAACCTGGCACATTAGGAAATGGAAAATAGTCTAGGATGGCCAAAGCTTACAGTGTGGGTAAGAGATAAGGCTGGAGAGGTGGAGAAGGGCTTCATCTTGGGCCCCTGGTATGCCATGCTATGGACCCCAGGCCCACTCAGTTGGCACCAGGAGTCTTTGTCGGAGTGAACAGTCATAGGGAGATCAATGGGGGAGACAAAAGAATCAAGACAAAAATTCCACTGCCGCCTGCCGCTTCAGCCTTGGATTTTGCATCTCCGTGAAAGAGAAGCTGTGAAAGTGAAGGCCAGAGCAGCCTCAGAGGTAGAGTTCTCCAACCATTTCCCTAGGAACATTCAGTAGAAAGATTAGAAATCCCCAGATCCAGTCAAATGCTTTAGGGCGACCAGTGACTAATAATCAAAAGCCCTAAGATGGGCCAGTGGGGAGATTCTAAACCAGAGGAAGCCACACATATGTGCTTCGATTACAGTGCTGAGCATGGTTCTTGTGTAATTGGGTACTTAGTTCACTGCTTAAATAAAATCCAACTCATTATTATAATAATGATAAAGGATAAAGTTAAAAGTTAAAAACAAGATGTTACTAGCTTCTAATAAATACAATAACATGATCGTTGTCTGCATGGTGAAAGAGAATTTCTGGGGCCCTTAATAATTCACTGTGTTACTAGGAATTTTCAGAAATGAAAGAGAGCAGAAATAGTCTTTGATATCTATAGAGTTAGTTTTATGGTTCCAAATTTGCATCTAATACAGTGTTGATAGATGGGCCTTGGAAATCTTAGCCTGCAAGAAATGGGCACAGAAGCAGAGATCATTGCTGCTGTCACTAATAACCCACACTTATTGAGTGTGACAGGCACAGGCATTTATCTGCAATTCTTCACAGCAGTTTCAAGAAGCAGGAACTACTATTAATTTAATTTTATAGATGAACACACTGAAGTTTGGAGTTAGGTACTGTGTCTAGGGTCAGCCACACATGAGTACTTGGACTTGAAGTCCTCGCTATGGCCATATAGTGACATCTTCCAACTGAAGGGAGATTGATTTTGCCCTGGATTAGGGGATATAAGGAAAACTATTTTTAATAGAAACCTCTCCTTGTAGGGTTTCCAATTCTGCCTCCTATGTATCTCCATAATCCATAACTTCTCTACTAAAATACATAGGAAGGCTTTGCCTTGAAGAGTTTTAAAGGATACAGTGACCATTTCTCTTGTGATAACACACCTGTGTGAGTGTCACAGTCTAGAGATTGAGATCTCTGCTACTGGACATATTGTGTTTGGTTCGATAGTCTCCAAGTTCCCCTCTAAGGGTAAAATGATATATGTTTATGTTGTTTCAGGAAGCCCGCTGGTGTCCTGTACAATGCCTTTTGGACTGATGCTAAGAGAATGTCATGAGTGTTAGGTACCTGGTGGGCTAGTTCATGGGCTATGACTTTGGTGACCCATAGTTGATCAGAAGCAGAAGAAGTGTTAGTATCAAAGAGCAGTGACGTCTCTTTATATGTGATGAGGCCCCAATTTTCCATGGCTCCAGACTCAAAGTCAGGAATGGCAATTAGATCTAAGAAATAAGAACAAACATATTTGATCATTATGGCTTCTGCATCAGAAATGGGATTTGCTTCCCCCTCAAATACACTGTGATACTTTCATGTATAAGCAGACTTTCCGAAAACGTAAAGACTATTGCAACATTGACCTGGGGTCTTGCAGATGCACTGAAAATAATTGATACCCATTATTAAGCAGCATTAATTCTATCAATACAATTTTGGTTGTAGCTGAAGTAACCTGTTGACATTTACCCACTTGTTTCAAAGCGTGCTAAACTTGGCAAATACCTTGGGTGCATTAGTGCTAAGAAAATGATTTTTTAAGGGGCGCCTGGGTGGCTCAGTCGGTTAAAACCTCTGCCTTCGGCTCGGGTCATGATCTCAGGGTCCTGGGATCGAGCCCCGCATTGGGCTCTCTGCTCAGCGGGGAGCCTGCTTCCTCCTCTCTCTCTGCTCTGCCTCTCTGCCTACTTATTATCTCTGTCTGTCAAATAAATAAAATCTTAAAAACAAAAAAGAAAATGATTTTTTTAGAAATACTCATATTGTATTTTATATTAATACTACTCAAAAACTTTGAAAGGTATCGAATAATTTTTAGTATGTTTGAGGTTCATCAAAACCTAATGAACTCATTTCTGTAAAAAAAAGAATAATATGGGATTTTAATTTTAGGAAAACATCTTTTAGGAGCAATCTCTATTGTCAATATTTCAATTACTTTTTCAAGAATGTGTGGTCTCAATTATGAGCAAGTGTCCTTTCTAAGGCAGTAGAGGAAAAAAGCTGTAGGTATCAATTATTTTTGACCTCAATTTCCTTTTCAACATTGATATTTTCTCTACCTCTTGACAAAGTCTTGAGGGAAAAAGTGAAATTTAGTCATCTTTAAGCAACTCAGGTATAATGTATATTAATTTATATTCTATCTGTGTGTGTGTGTTTGTGTGTGTGTGTGTGTGTGTGTGTGTACCCATTGCCATTGATGTCATGTAGGTGAGAAAATTTCTGACTAATATTTAATCTTGGAATTTTTACTCTTTATTCTGCTAGACCATTTTGGAAGAAATACGGTTTGACTAAAAAGGAAGGTAATTTTTTTAAGTTGAAATGAACCAAGTCACTTGCCTTGCGATTACATTGTCTGGAATTAATACTGGTTAATTCTAGTGGATAAAAACAAATACTTATAAGACAATCTAAAGTAAATTAGCACTAATAAAGATTCATATTCATTAGAACTTCAAATGTGGGATGAATTTTTTTTTGTAAATTGCACTGATGATTTTATACTGCTGGATTATCTCCAATAATCATTAGAGATACTTGTATCTGGTTTAATTTTTCCTAAACTGCATCCTTCTTTTTGGTTATTTTAAAAATACATTTCATAGGGGTGCCTGGGTGGCTCAGTGGGTTAAGCATCCACCTTCAGCTCAGGTCATGATCCTAGGGTCCTAGGACGGAGCCCCGCATTGCATGGGGCTCCTTGTTCATTAGAGAGTCTGCTTCTCCCTTCCTCTTTCCCTCTGCCTCTCCCTGCTTGGACTCCTGTGCATGTGCTGTCTCTCTCTCTTTCTCTCAAATAAGTGAGTAAAATCTTAAAAAAAAAAAAAGGTACATTTCATATGATCTTCAAGGTTGCATTGTTCAAGAACAAGGTAAGGTTGTTGATGGTTGTTATTGGATCTTTCCTTGGCTTTTGACATAGAGACAAGAATGGATTATGGGTAAATTTAGTATATCTATACTAAAAAATAGATAGAACCTGCACTATAATAAAGCACTGAGACTCAAGAACAATAAGAATAAGCCCCTGGAAAAGTCTTTTGATGGTCCTTTTACCTTCTCTAAGGAAAAACGGCACAGATTTGGAGGGTAAAGAGAAACAAAGACATGATAAGGAGTATGACTTAATTTTCTCAAGGGAAAAAAATGTTTGTCACTGTCAGAAATTCTGAAAACCAACCTACATATGTTATGAAACCAAAGTTATGGTTTAATGTGTTTTTCTTAAGATAGAAAATCAAAACCAGGATAGACTATTTGTATCTTCCTATGTAAAAATCTGTTACTACCACATTCAAATTATCTACTTCCTCCAAGTCTTCTTTTATTTTTAAATCTGTGCCACATTCTTTTTTTTTTAAAGATTTTATTTATTTGACACAGAAAGAGATAACAAGTAGGCAGAGAGGCAGGCAGAGAGAGAGAGAGAGAGAGGAAGGGATGCAGACTCCCTGCTTAGCAGAGAGCCCGATGCGGGGCTCGATCCCAGGACCCTGGGATCATGACCTGAGCTGAGGCAGAGGCTTAACCCACTGAGCCACCCAGGCGCCCCTCTGTGCCACATTCTTATCTTTCAACTTCAAATGCACTATAAACAGATAGAGGGACAATTTCTAGCTATTTACATAAATCTTTGGCAAATTTTATAAAAGACTGCTGGTCTTGTACAAACACGGCATAGAAAAAAGTTATATGTTCCGGAAAATTCATCCAATTAAACCTAACATGTGATACAGCTATTTTAATATGAACCAGATAAAAGAATAAATGATCCACACTACTCAGACTTCTCATAAATACTTTTCTACACTCAAGAACCATCTCTGAGGTACAAATTATTGCTTCCTGGGCTAACTGAACCTCTTCAGTACTCATTTACATCACATATAAAGACAAAAAAGGAAATCAAAGCAAGGTCTATAAGAAAAATAAATACAATGACACAGAATTTTTGAACCTACCCAGTTTGGGGAGTGGATAATTGATATCAAAGTAGTTTTCATAAAAATCAAGTAGCTTTAATGATGCTTCCAAAGCATAATGGGTTTGACTCCATTTTTCTGGGGATGCATAGACGGACACCTGGAAATGTTGATCAGAAGAAGTGGTCTTTGAATGTCACAAATCCTTGGCACAATCCCATTCCTAACAATCCTCACTCAAAGAAAGGTAGACTGAATTTTTCATGAAATTATTGTAATAGAATTAGCATGTTTTTGACAGGGATAAGACGTTCCATAAAGTATTACAGCAAAAGTCAGTCTTAAAAATTATAAGCAATCTTGTGTCTTCTATCATATTCCATTCCCTAGGTGCTAATCTGTAAATTTCAAGCTATATGAACTCACCATATCATGAGAGCCCACTTGAGCTCATCACTATCATGCATTCTAGCACTTGAGTGCTAGCTTTCCAGAATTGTGTCTACCAGCACAAGTCAAATAAAACATAGGTATTTGAGTTGGAAAAGCCTTCAAGAACTTATCAGATCCACTTTTCCATCTAGTAGACTTTAAACTCAAAAATCCCCAAATATGTTTCTTTACTCCCCCTCAAGTAAATAACCACCGAGTGGAAAAAATTAAATTACATTCCACTTTTATTGGGTTTCAAGTATGGTGCTACTTTCATTTTATGGTGTGCTTTCACGCTCTGAATTACCTAAAGTCCCTCAGAACTTTTATACGAAGGCTATATTAATAGTTACCATCTTTTGATGGCTTATCAGGCACAGTGCTAAATGCGTACATATGAAATCTAATTGAATCCTCTCAACAACCTTACGAAAAGATGGAAATACGTGGAAATTAAGTAACTTGCTCCAAGTCACCCAGCTAGAGAATTGCAGAGCTGGGATGTGAAACCGAGGAAGCTGACCGGAACCCGCCCTCCTGAGGTTACGTGCCATGACCTCCCATATGACTATTATCATGGTGAAAGTAGAGTTAAATAATCTTAAATATTATTTTGTAAAAAAAATGAGTATACACAATTATTGTATATACTCTCATACACTGACATACATATGGAAAATATTTAGAAAAGTTACAGTAATATTATCAGTAATTCTATCTTGATGATGGGATTTATGAGTAATTTATTTTATTTTTTGCCTATTTTGTGAAATAAGCATGATAAAAAGCATAAGAAAACAAAAGCTCTTTGCTCTCAGGACTGTGTATAAAATTAGAACTCAGTCTCACCTTGACCCCTGAGGAGGTGGTGCCACTCACAGAGTTGAAATCACAAACTATGTAGGCTACAAGGTATGTACTCATTTTTACAGTAGTTTCAAAGTGATCTTCTAAGAGGCCTTCTTCAAGTTCAATTGTCTTCACCTACAGGAAGGGAAAAAAATTTGAAATTTGAAAATTGGAGTATTTTACAACAGTACCTATGACTTAAGCCGGTGAATTAGAAGAAGATCCCACCACTTTGGAGGACTTGAAGATCAATGGCCCATCACATTCTATGACCTCTACTCCCCATTTTTCTCTTATCCCCGGACTTCCTCTAAGACATCATGTACCACTTTTGGGACCCAAAATGATGCCAAATCTTATTTTGTTGCTTGAAAGCATAAAAACATTTTAGGGGTTTCTACTTTGTTGAAATGTAGTAATCTCCAACACTGGCATAAATCAAAGTTCTGCACTTCTAATCAAAAATATCAAAGAATGTCTCCTTTCCCTTCGTTTGTTATATAATAAATCTCTGTTGCAGAAGAAAATGGGATGCAAAATTGTGTGAGATACTTTTCATTATCTTTTAGTCCTCTTATTTATGTGTGAGGTAGGTGCTATTTCACAGGTGAGGAAGCAGAGTCTCAGAAATGTTAACTGAATTGCCCAAGATCACATGGCTAGTTCCACAGGAAGACCAAGATGTGGATGTGACCGTGTGACTCCAAAGACATTGCTCATTCCTTCACTCGCTGTGTGACAGCTTGAGTCATAGTCTTATTTTATCTTTGCTTCATTGATTCAGCAATGAAAGCAGGCAGGCCAAGGAGGTCATTAGTAATTTAAGCTTCTGCCTATCTGCGGAAGAAGTAAGAAGTTTTAAGCCTACAGACGGGCCAGCCACATCTATCAAGTTCACTGAGTAATTACCAATCTCTATCTTTAATTGTTCAGGATAGGTTGTCCCAGAGATGGTCTCCACCATGGTGCAATGCCCCAAAATACTGAACGGATATAGATCCAATAATCTGAAAATACCACTTTCTTTAAATTGGTAACTGCTCTTAGACTAGCTTTCCCCTCCCAGCATCCCTTTCAAGGGATCAGGCTTGCGACAGCACTAACCAGGGCTTGTCAAGCCTGTTTTAGCTATTTGGATAAGACTGCAGTTTGCTTTGGCAAGAGAAGATGCCTTGAAGTATTACCAGAAACTGCCTAGCCTACTTAAGTGACAAATGTTTATGTTATTTAATTCTACTAGCATTCGAGTCTACAGAATTCCATTTAAAAAATGAGGTCCTGAGTTTTAAGAAAGCAACAGACATTGACCAAATACTTTACAAAAGGTAGCACTATATATAGGACTGCGATATGTGTACCTCCTGCAAGTTAACTTTGTAGAACAACAGTCTCTTTTTTTGGGATCTGATTCAATGAGAATTCTATGAGCACATACTTCTACCAGACACGAGGATTATGGGAGAGGCAGGGGAGAGGGCGTTATGACTGCAGTCTTATGACCAAACTCAGTAAAAAACCATTTAGTCAAGTGTGTTAGAAGCAGGAGGGGAGAAGGAGGAAGGTTGTGGGACACTGGGGAGACGAGAGTCTCTGACAGGAGACACTGGTGGCAGGAGTGGTTAGGAGATAGATGGGCGTTCCCTCTGATTTCTTTCCCCAGATGAAGATATAGCCCATGGAGACTGAGTTTTGTTCTGGAACCTGGAGTGAACCATGTAGATTAACATTGCCTTAAATGGAAGTGCATGGGGTGTTCGTGTACGTTCTTGCAGGATGATGATGTAATCTCCAAGTACAGAACATTTGTTACTAGACAAAGATTTAGCTATTTCTCACTGTTGGCCAGACTTTCCTTACACAGCAAGTATCATCAGCAGGTGTGTGTTCCTTTAAGGAAAGAAGGGGACAAAGAAACCCTCTAATGATATGCTGCCCCCACTAGTACATGGATGGCTACCTCAATTCCCTTAAATCTTGTATTCTCAACTAAGCAGTTTGAGAGCTCAGTGTGCGTTGCTTCTTCTCACTAATCCATAAACCAGATTAACTGCTGCAATGATTGTCCAGAGTGTAAGACCGTAGCATGACTTCAGTTGTCCTTTTTGGCCAACCACAAAAACTTGGGTTGGGCATGTCAGTGAGAAGCAGAAAGTGAAGCCAGTATTTGTTGGAAAAGTCATGATCCAGGCAACTGGACAAATCAATTGAGACAATGCAAATATTCAAGGATCATATAAAATATTTTTGAAACATGCACTTATTTGTCTTAAATAGGAGAAGTTGCTGGAGGTTTCTAAAGATAAAAAAAAAATTTAAGTTCTAATATAATGAAATGGCAATTATGTTTGCATCATATTTTGATGAAAAGGCTTGAAAATAATTATATTTTTACTTTACCTTCCATGATTACTCATGTGAAAAATGACATTAATAAAAAGCTGCTGGGAAAGAGACTGAACTGCCCTTAAATAACATACAGTTAGAAAGCAGACTTGGAGTTCAAGTACACGATCATTTTTACCCGGAAATGAGTAGGCTAATTAAATTGCTGTCTGGATGATCAGGAAAAACTAGGATATGTGTCACATGGAGTATTGTCACTTTTCCTCTTGATCTGTTTTGCCAGTCTATCAGAGCAAATACATTTTTAACCAGCATGAAACAGAAATCTAGGGAAGTTCAGTGTCTTGTGTTATCAACTCATTTCTCCCCTTCAGGCATAGAGGCTGATCACTGTGGAGGGCAGAGAGAAAACTGGGGTAGGGCCCCTTGCTGGCTTATGATGGCCCAGCTGCCTCCTGGGCTGCTCATTTTTGCCGAAGCACGATCAGAAGAGCCTCTATTTTTGTCTCACTTTCCAAGCAGCAATTGTGAACTATTTTATATTTTGTCAAACATCACAAACGGCAAGCACATCATTAGCCAGGAAATATCAAATGAGGCCCGCAGTCAGCCGTATCTTTCAGAGTCTCCGAATTTGGGGGGCAAATAAAGGGTTCAAATGTCTCTTTCAGTTAAAAAAAAAAAAGTGTATAACTACCATAGATGATTTTCATAGATAATTTTAAGAATTACCCATGGAATTAAAAAAAAAGGGGGGGGATTTCTAAGTTTCATCAGAGACCACTAGAGCAGAATTTCCAGGGAGGAGCCCAGGCAGGGTTCTCTAGATCCTTCCCACTCTAAATGTGAGGTCTGGACCAGCAGCAGTGGTATCACCTGGGAGATCATTAAAAAGGCAGAACTTTGAGCCTCACCATGCCAAGCCGAATCAGAATCTAAATTTTAACAAGATCCTCAGATGATTCATCTCAACATTAAAGTTTGAGAAGCACTGCTCTGGGTGGCTCTGAATTTCATCATTGGCCAAGTAACACAGATTGAAAAAGAACATTGTTTCCATATGAATACGAATCAAATATAAATCACTTTTTTTTTTTAACTTCTGGTATAACAATGCCCCACACAGAATGATGTTAAAATCTAGTAGGATTGGGGTTATTATATAATATGTAGATGGAGAAAACAAATTAATGGCTTCAATCTTGAAAACAAAAAAATATTAAAAAAAAAATACAACAAAGACCGAGGCTCAACTTGAGAATGATTCCCCCAAAGTTTCTGCAAGTGACAATACCTTTGGCATGTTGGAGAGTGCAACATGTCCACTTTCTCTTCTTATCTTGATGGAAAAGTTGGCTTTAAATGATGGTTCATCAAAGCAAGGGAAAGCCATCCGGGCTTCAGTTGGCTCAAAATCGGTTACTGCAATTATTCTGAAATGAAGAAACCACCGGCCAGAATTTTACAAGTGAAAACAAGAAAAGAAATGAACTATACCTTCAGAACACAGCATGTCAAACCTAGAGGTGATATATTTGACTTCTCAAACTATAATCTTAGTGAATCTAGGCTGTCTTTTTAAATAAAACAGGGGTAAATTCTGTTACTAGCTGCCAGTCGTGAATTATAAACAGTGCTGGGTGTTCTGCTTATATGAATTCCTTCACACTCATGGTAGGCAAAGATCTGAGACTCAGAAAATTCAAATAAGCATATCAGTTCCTTAGCTACTAAATGAGATAGTCATGTCCAGTCAACTTGATGCCGAAACTGACTAGGATATGAGTAGTAAAATACCATCTCTAAGGATGGGGCTTCAGTTGGAGATTTGAGTACTTGGAAATGTGAGTGATGCCTTAGGTTGTGTTCTCAGAAAGCAGACCCTGCTTCATTAAAAATATGCCTCCAAGAGATAGATGTTAAGGAGGTAGGTAAGGAGTGAAGGAAGCAGGATAGGATAGAAGAAAAAGCCAGGCTGGATCCGGCGTCAGTCTGATCTCTGGGGAGCTCTGGAATGGAAACTACTTCTTTAAGATTTCCCCGACTAGAGGCAAGGAGCTGGGATTTTATATTTTGTACCCCATAGGGAGACTAACTCCCAGGAACTTCTAGCTTTCTCTGTTTGCTGACAAAGTAGCTCTAGTCCTCAGACTATAATAGGTAGGTAGATATTCTGACAAATCTCTATACCCTATCACCTGGATAATGTCTGAAATTGTCTAATTACAGATTTATTCTTTGGACTTACAGCTTCAATTAAGAAACAGAGCTGGAGGGGCACCTGGGTGGCTCAGTGGATTAAAGCCTCTGCCTTCGGATCAGGTCATGATCCCAGGGTCCTGGGATCCAGCCCCCGCATCGGGCTCTCTGCTCAGCGGGGAGTCTGCTTCCTCCTCTCTCTCTCGCCTGCCTCTCTGCCTACTTGTAATTTCTGTCTGTCAAATAAATAAATAAATAAATCTTAAAAAAAAAAGAAAGAAAGAAACAGAGCTGGAATGCAGACTTTTATTGGAGAAAGAGGGAGAATAAAACATCTCTAGGGTCAGATAAAGGATGAGAAGGGCTGGGGGAAGAGAGGTTGCCAGGATAATTGTGCCTCAATTTAGTTTGTTTCTATAATATAGATTGGAAAATGGGGCTAGGGATCGAAACAATTTGATTTGCTTGGAACTTCAGGCTTTATTTGGTAGCAGCTACTACAAGTATAAAGGAATTCCATATGCCTGGAATAATTTTCACAAATGTGAAATTTTGTTTATGATAAGTCTACAGTGGGAAAGAATAGAGTTTAATATTTTTTTTTCTGGTACTCGCACAATTAATCTTAGCTCTGCATGTAAAGTAGTGACTTCTTTACTTCTCAAAGAACTATTGTTGACCAGATTATATTTGAAGTTAAGTTGTGTGTGTGTGTGTGTGTGTGTGTGTGTGTGTGAGAGAGAGAGAGAGAGAGAGAGATCCATGAGTCTATTGACACTGTGCTGCAAATCATCTTATATGTTAGATCTACTATGTGACTGAGGATGAAGAGAACTAATTAATCATAAGAAGAGTCAGAAATAGCCTGAAGTTAGTTATGGGAGACATGTTGAAAAGTCCTCCGGCTCTACTTAAAAAAAAATAAATAAATAATCTCCCACTCCAGTTTCCAACATCTTCCAAAACGATACTCTTAAAAAGTTTGTCCTTGTGGTGGAGTCCTTGTCACTTGAAAAAATGAAAAAAGTCATTACTGGTCACATGTTGCCTTAGTGAGAAGTTGATAAATTCCCATATCCAGTACTATGCTGGCTGAAAACAAGACCCATAACAACTGAGGCTGCAGTGAGGAAAGTGTCCCAAAGCAAGGAGCAAAGACATGGGCTTGAGGAAGGGCTCTCCTATGTGGACCACTGAGGACTGTGGGGGTGGGGAGGAACATATGAGTCCTCAGAGGATAGTGAGCACAGAAGATGGGAAAGAAGAGACATGTAGCAGACATTGCTAAAGTCCCCTATTCATTCCTCTTCTTCAATTCCAGTGGAATCCTGATTTTACTCAAGAAGAAAATGTGTCCAATTTTTAAAAAATCACCTCTTCAGAGTCCCTTACTACTTTTTGGGGCAATAAAACTCATTCTGTCCTGATTGAAGTCTTTGGGTGGGAAAACTTTGTAAAAATACTCAGCTGGAATGTTTCTTTTTGCCTTTTTCTCTCCCCCCAACTTCCCCTTTCTTCCTGCCACAATGTGGACTTAATGCCTAGAGGTGCGGAAATCATTTTGTATTAGGAGGAAAGCCATATGCCAAGGGTGCTAAGCAGAAAGATAGAAGCAGCCTGGGTCCTGGATAGCACTGGAGAGTGCTGTAGCAAACCTGTCCTGTCCTGTTTCTGGAAGTCTTGCTGCATGAGAAAATAGTGGGCCCCTATGTGGTTAAACCACTGTATTTGGGTTTCTCTAACTGACAGTGGAGTGTCACTGATCAAAGGTGGGAAAGCACCGAAACCGTCCCAGATGGACCCTGGCTCTGGACAACCAAAGCAGCCACCCCATGGATCACTGATGCCTCTTTTTTTCTGATTTCATGTAACTGTCAGAAAATTCTGTCTGTTTTACTCTCCAAAACAAATGGCAAATTCAATCACTTCTCTCCATAAGCACTGCCACTAGCTTGGCCCAGGACACCCTCATTTCTTGCCCACACCACTGCAATGACCTCCTAAAAATTACTGTATGATACCGTATCATACTCTGTATCATACTCGCAACATACACTTGAGCTTTATGGAGCATACATCAGGTCATAATCTCCTGATGAATTCCCACTGCACTGGAGGAAAAGCCTAAACCCCCTACAAGTGGCTCAACGTCTTTGCCTGATATGACCCCTTTCTACTCTACTTCTCTCCTTTATTCAGTGTCCTTAAGTCATGCTGGTCAGCCAGTCCAACCTCAGAACCTTTGCACTTGCTGTTCCTTTGTCTGGAGATACTCTACCCGAAGATGTCCTCATGATTTTCTCCTTTTTGGAAAAAAATAAAACAAAATATTATCTCCATTTAAATGTATCTCCTTCGCAAGGGCTCTTCTGACCACTTTGATCAATGAGTTCCAATCCCCAGCTACACCTCCTTTCTATTACAGCACCTCAATTTATTTCCTTCTTAGCATTTATCATTTACCTTGCCCATTTAATTTACTTTCTTGTTCTGGTTGTCTCTTCCTACATATCTTACCACTCTACATTCAATGCCTAGAACATTGCCTGGCACATGGCATGTGCTCAATAAATGGGAGCTCATGAAATTGACCATATTTCTCAATTCTGCAAACACAGTTGATCCTGCCTTCTAGATTTGAGTCATGCCATTTCTTGGGGAATGAACACACACTCTCACTTCCTTTCTTTCAAACCAAACCTCACTTGTGGTTCTTTCTGGTCTCAGATCAAGACTCACCTCCTTTGAGAAGCCTTCCCTATTTCAGCTTTCTGTGCCATGACCATCCTTCCCCCTAGCACACCAACATATCTGTCTCAACACAGTCACATACTGGTCTCTCCTCCTAGTCATTCTCCCTCTAGCTCTTTATGCCTTAGCATTCTGTGTTCTCATCTTCACTGATATTTCCTTAAGAAACAGCAGAGCTGCTGCTTCTTCCAAGTTTCCATGGTTTATGGTGCTTTTCAAAAATGACTGCTGAAATGTGCTCCTTGGCAAAGAGTTGTAACCCATAAGGAAAGTATCATAAGAGACTAAACAGCTAGAGCGATGTCCTACCTTGTTTTACCACCATGAGTTCTGTATGTGCTTTTATAAAACCCTTGAAAACCATTGGCTAAGTTGGCCTGGAAGTCGATAGCCACAGAGTATCTCAAATCAGCCATTAGTGCCTCTGGAACCAACAGTGCAATTTGTTGATGAGCAGGATAACTCAAAACATTCAGCCTTTTTCCTGGTTTCCTGTATCTCAAATCTTCCTCTGACTGAAGGATGACATTCATGATTTCAAGGTCTTTGCTGTGCAAGATGATGAATTGTGTGGCATCTCTGACTGAGACTTCAATCTTCTCAGAACCAACAAAGTCCAGGGAGGTAAGATTTGGATGGACCAAAAGGTCATAGTGGAGAGGAATGACCACCCTGGGGAGCCTTAGCTCGTTCCAAGGAAATGGTTCTCCATTGGTGGCTACGGGGAAAGCCCCAGGGTCCTTATTGAATGGATCAATAGATGACGTTGAAAATTGAGAACAAATGCATATTTTGGCCATAATGGCTGAGCAGTAAAATCCCATGTAAATATTAAATATCAGTTTTCTGCACAGATTGGCCATTGCAGAAGAATTGATACTAAATCTATTCTCTAGAAGACAAATTAATATCCAGACTAAGTCTCTAAATTGTCTGTAGCACTGTACTCGCTCCAGTTATGTCACACAGGATCTGAACGATACGTTTCAATAAACGGATTTGACCTAGAAGGGAAAAAAAAAAACTCATAGCATGTAGAAAATGAGTTCAATTAATAAATTACTCTTTAAAAAAAAGTGTGGGAATGGAGAAAACCTGCTTCCATAGAAAGAAGCCAAATAACCACAAAATGAAGTAGAAATTGAGCTATCATTTCATTATTACTAAAAATCCTGTGGAGGCCAAATGAAAGGAGTATGCCTTGAAATTTTATGTGTAGAATTCCCTCTGCATTCCTATGCAATGAACTTCAGGCAGGTATGTAAATTCATTGAGTGCTAAATGTTTTTAATATTTGGCTATACCATTCTGGCTGTATCCTGGACACCTGAAAATTAGCTGCACAGGTGGTCTCTATTTTGTCTTGAGTCACAAACTCTATATTCTTTGGATACCAGTTTTAATTATTAGTGGCATTGAACTTCACCTCTCTCAATGAATAAAATTACCTGAATGGCCTTATTCTATGGGTGTTGTTGGAAAGGATGCTGGTCAACGTATATTTCCAATATATCAAAAGCTAAAGAAATAAAATTTGAGTTTATAATATTCTTAATGAGAATACTTAAAAATTGTTTTGGTGTTCTTCATCCTAGGCTACCTTTGAAAGTGCAATTAAATCAAACTGAATTCACTGCCTCTGAATAGAACTAAGATGATTTATCCTTATTAGGAGGGTAAAATCACAAAATATAAAATGAGGACAAACAATATTGTTAGTTTAGGTGATTCAACTCTGACTCCCACCCAGTCACCTGCTTCTACTTATCTCCTCCCAGCTCCAACCCAGTCCATGAACAGTCTCCTTTCCATTTTTTTTTCATTAGCAAGCTCTTCAGACTTAATTATCCCAACAGTTACTTTAATTCTCCAATTTGTAATATTACTGCAGACAAGCATGTATTGTTAAAGGGACAACAACAACAAACAAGAATGGTAAAATAAAACATTTCAAAGCCAAGATAAGGAAACAACTTGAGGTGCCATCAATAGATGAACAAATAAAAGTGATGTGCTATATATACCTGCAATGAGATGTTATTTGGCCATGAAAAAGAAAGCAATCCTGCCACAGCATGGATGGAATTTGAGGACATCATGCTAAGTAAACTAAGTCATGCAGAGAAAGACAAATAAATATTATGTATCAGGTTTGTGGGGAATATAAAATAGCTGAACTCAGAGAAACACAGTGGAGTGGCAGCTACCAGGAGTTGTGCGGTGGGGGAAATGGGTACAAACTTCAACTGGAAGGTTTAACAAGTTCTAGCGATCTAATATACAGCATGGTGATTACAGATAATCATACTATATCTTGCACTTGAATGTTGACTAGATTCTCACTGTCCTCGCAAAAAAGTAGGTCCGTGACTTTCTCACTGCAAAAAAGAAGTGGTGATTATGAGATGGGATGGAGGTGTTAGCTAATGCCACGGTGGTAATCATTTTGCAATATAAAAATGTATCAAATCAAGGTGTTGTACACTTTATTTTTTTTTAAGATTTTAAAAATTTATTTATTTGTCAGAGACAAAGAGAGTACAAGCAGGACAAGCAACAGAGAGAGACAGAGAAGAAGACTCCCCAATGAGTGCAGAACCTGATGCGGGGCTCCAATCCCAGGACCTTGGGATCATGACCTGAGCCAAAGACAGACGCTTAACCAACTAAGCCACCCAGGAACCCAGAGTGTTGCACACTTTAAACTTACACAATGTTATAATATCAGTTATATCTCAATAAAGCTGGGGAAGATTTTTTTAATTGAAAAGATGATGACACTTCCATCTTTTTCAAATAAGCATTAAATGGTGGCTAGGAGTGCCTGGGTGGTTCACCCTGTTAAGCGTCTATCTTGGTTTCAGCTTGGGTCATGCTCTCAGGGTTCTGGGATCCAGCCCTGCATTGGGCTCTCTGCTCAGTGGGGAGTCTGCTCCCCCCTCTGCCTCTGTGGTCTCTCTCTCTCAAATAAATAAATAAAATCTTAAAAAAATAAAAAGAATTCATGTGAAGATTTTGGCATAGCACCATAATTAGTACATACAAAGCACATAATGAATGTTAAATATTAAACTATTACTGTGATTACTATTACTTGAATTCTCTGGCATAGATTAAGGACTATTTCTGTCCCCACCTGTAGCAGACACACTCCAAGAAAGCTGTATTTTACCGGTAAGACTGGAGAGAAAGGTCTTGCTATTTACTTATATTCGTATAGCCTTTAGCCTTAGATCAAAGGACTAAGGACTGGAAAAGCCAGCTAATATGTCTTTGGTGTCCTGGTAAAGAAACTGAGGGGAAGTGATTTTCCCAAAATCACAAGGGAAATTTCAAGCAAAATTGGGACGAAAATACAGCCCTTGACCCTTAGTCTGGGGGACTTTCCTTTATATTCAATAGCACTTCAGTGAAAAAAATGTCCTGGGATCCAAGACGAGAATTGCAGGAAATGTTTGGGAAAAGCTAAGAGATCTCCGGAAGAGAGAGTGAGTCAGTAAAGCTGAAGGATTCTTAAATCAAGTCCCAACCTTAACCTCACACACATGCGGAGGATGCAGTGCCGGATTCCCCCCACCCCCTTTCCCCGGAGCCTCACTTAACAGGACAAGATTTCCTCAATACAGCAGTTTTATACCTTAAGTTCCAGTAATAATCCTCACTGAAAAGTTCTGAGTCTTAAGAAAAATGGAAGAGAAATGTTGAGGAGTTACCTTAATCCACGCTGGTGCAGATTTGAATGAAGGGGAATTTACTTTTGATTTCACTTTCTGTTGTGGTAGGACCCGGAACTTAGCGTGCTTACTGATTACAACACTGGCTGGTTCTTTAGAGTATAGACGAACTATAGAAGGGCTTAGGACAAGAGCTTTAGTCCAAAAGGCACGAGACTTCCCCCTGCTTCAAGCCCTCCTCCGTCCTCTGTGAAAAGACCATATAATTGTTTTGATTCTGCCCCTCTCCAGTTTGTTACGAATTCCTTTTGATTCTTCACTTTCAATTTCTTTCTATTCAAATCTTAAACAATTCCCCTAGTCATTAGAGTAGTCTAGGTCCTCATTACTCCTCACAATGGCCTTCGATCAGGTCTCCCTGGCTCCTCCCGGTCAGGTCCGGCAGTTTACTGGTCTGGTGCCAGCCCCGGACTCATCCTTGACGCTACTGCTTGATCATGGCGCGCCCAGCTTCAGACCTTCCTGGGGTTTCCTCCTGTTTACACAGAGAGGCAGGTCCCCATGTGGAGACCACGGGGGACCCCACGGACTCTCTCATGCTCTGTCTGGTGGTTTTGTTTAGATCCTAGTGCATTAAAGGGCAATGCCCCCACGCAAGTGTTATTCTTAAGGGAAATATAACAAGCTTGACTCTTACTGTCCAACAGCCCGTCCTCATATTCTGGTGTTCGTGCCTTGTCCTGCCACACGTTAGAATTTGCAACCCGTGCTTTGGCTCAATATTCAAGTACTGCCATGATTCGATCCTAGCTAAATCTCATGCCTTAATTTTTTTTTTCTCTTTTGGGTTTTTTTTTTTTTTTTTTTCATGTCAACCTGGATAAATGATTTGATAAAGCAGAGGAGCGAATGTCCAGGAGGTGGCCTCCACCAAGGGCTAGAGGCACAGGGTTGAATGGGGACCCTCAGGGTGGCATTGTGTGTAGTTAGAGGGGCACCATGGGGTGGGGAGGTTGGCTGGAAACAGGTGTGTGGGGGGGAGGGGGCAAAGAAGAGAAGGCTGTATGTAATTCTGCAGCAGGGGAGGGAAGGGGCAAAAGTTATAGAGGAACCTGGGGGTACTTTGGTGACGTTCTCTGTCACAGGGCCCAGCTCAGTGTGTGCGTGTTCTCAGAACTCTGCCCCGCCCAGGAGAACAGGGTTCTGGGACTGGGCTGCAGAATCCTACAAGACAAAGTTGAGGAAGGTCCAGGTGATTTCCCAGCTTATTACTTAGAACTGTTTCTCACCAAAATGGGGTCCTAATTTTTTTTTTTTTTTTTTCTGGTAACAGAATAAGCTTTGGGATGTTTGTGGTCCAGAGAATTCACATATCTCACTCTTTCATTTTACCCTGACCTTTGAACTGTTCCTCGTTTAGACTCTCCTTATTGGCTCTCTCTAAAACAGGTGCACTCTTGGGACACCTGGGTGGCCCCGTTGGTGAAGCGTCTGTCTTCAGCTCGGGTCCTGATCTCAGGGTCCTGGGATCGAGCCTCCTGTCAGGCTCCACTCAGCGGACAGTCTGCTTATCCCTCCTCCTCTACCCTTCCCCCTGCTCATGCTCTCTCGCTCTCTCTCAATTAAATAAATGAAATCTTCAAAAAATATAAAACGATAAAAAGTAAAAGAAGAGCCCTCCTACCTGCATGCATGCCGACTGCCACCACCCAGTGTCTATCACCTCCTCTATCATCTCCTCTATCACCTCCTCTATCATCTCCTCTATCACCTCCTCTATCACCTCCTCTATCACTTCCTCTATCATCTCCTCTATCACCTCCTCTATCACCCCCTCTATCACCTCCGACTGCTTAGTTCCTTCCTTCTTAGCATTTGTCAATGTCTGATACTACATTATGTACTGATGTATTTGTTCATCTGTCTTTCCACTAGTACATAAGCTTCTTGCAAGCAGGGAGTTTGGCTACTTCGTTCACTCCCAAATGCCCAGAGCCTGGCCTCTCAGTTCATACCTGCTGACTGAGTGAATGCATTTGCAGTATTTTCCTTTTTTTTTTTTTTCTTTTTTCCATTTCAGATAGCCCGGGGCTCGCTCCATGCTTCAGGCAGACAAGGGAACTTTACATCAGTGGATGTCCCCGGCCTGTCCCCATCTTCCTGAAGCTGCACTCTACGTGCGAGACATCTCTCTCCATGTCCCCTTTACATGTGACATGTAAACCTACTTGTCACAAGGCAAATACCACCTTGGAAGTGACACAGGCTCCCTTCCAGTCCCTAACTGTGGGGACTTGTTCCCTTAGTGCTACTGACCCTTATCTTCTGCTAACAGGTTTGTGCTTCATGTTGTTCCTTCAACAATCAACTCCTGAAGGCCGGGGGCCAAGCAGTACACCTCCACCTCTTCCTAGCACCCCACAGGTGTGTGTACCTCATAGGCCCTCAACAAACAAGTGAGAATGAATGAGTGAAAATGAATTTTCCCGAGAGTTGAAACTTACTTGGTAAAATGTTCAAAGATTTTTACTTATTTTTAAATGGAAAATTTCTCAAATATATTACAGATGTTTCCATCCCCTTAGAGTGTTCTCAACAGATTTAAACTTGAATGACTCAAGGTTTTGTTTTTGTTTTGTTTTGTTTTGTTTTATTACAAACTGGACCTAGAGTCAAGAGAATTGAACTTGCCGTCTTCTTAAAGTTACTTCCTTATGTCCAAATTAGAGACAATAATTCTCTCCTTAATTATTACAGAGGGTTATTGTCAATGTCAGAATCAATTTGAGATAATATGTAGAAATCAGTTTATAAATGTTTTATGAACTTTAAAGTTGTTTACATGCATACTACCTTGATAATAATATTCAGTGATTATGTTATGTTATAATAAAATGCTGCCCTTGGGGCCAAGGAGATATAATAAATAACCCTATGTTGCTATATCTTTTTGAATTCTTTTGAATTGGGTATTCTACAAAGTTTATTTCAGTTCCTCCATTATTATTAGATTTGTATTTACTTTCTATTGTTACCTTCAACTGTCCCCAACCTCCCCCCTAGAACTGTTTCAGGATTTTTCCTTCAAGAGTGCTACAAGTTGGGGGCACTTGGGTGGCTCAGCGTCTGCCTTGGGCTCAGGTCATGATCCCAGAGTCCCGGGATCGAGTTCAGGGTCCTGGTCAAGTCCAGGGTCCTGGGATGGAGTCCCACTTTAGGCTCCCTGCCAGTGGGGAGCCTGTCTAAAAAAAATTTTTTTTAAAAAGGACTAAATGCTGAAAAATGAACAAACAAAGCCAGCTGGACATTATTGGAGGCACTCAGTTGCCTTAAAAATTATTTCCTAATGCTGCCTGTGTTGTAGGTGGTGAGATTTCGGCATAAACAAACAGATAAATAGCCCTCCTGACAGATGACACGTTACTGAACCTCCTTCTCCCTGTTTTGCTAACATGGCTGTTGAATTCTCTCCCCTTAACATATGTACAGCTTGACCTTTGCCAGTGCTTGATGCTATCACTCTGAATACCCAGCCAGCCGACAGTTCTGAAAACCACTTCCTCTTCTCAGCCTCCCATCTCTTTTCAAAAGGATCTCTAAAAATCTATTGAGATCTCTAAAATTCTTCACAGTATGATTGCTATGGCTCTGTTTATTTTCAAATAAATAGAGCCAGAATCTATAAAATGGTTTTGATATTTTTAATTAAAAAAAAAAAAAGAAAGAAAGCTTCTGGTGGTACAAAGACCCTGGGCCTATGCAAAATATGGAGAGAAGGGGTTTGGCGTGGGGGTGGGAACATGAAATTCACCTAGTAAACACATTCTGTAGCTTCTTTTAAACTCCCTTAGTTTCAACAGAAAAGGAGAAGAGTATAATATCAGAATTTTAAACCAGCAACTGACAGGAAGGTGGTTTTTCAAAAACTGCTATCTTCAGTATACCTTCCGCAACATTTATTAAAAACAAAAACAGAAGAATGAAACAGTAAAAATCTTACACTGCTAAAGTAGAACAGAATATTAAGCAGACCTGACATTAGACAACTGAAATTGTACCACATTTAAAATTTTTATTTAATAGCCAAATGAAAAATGCCGGTGCTTCTGTCATTTTCTAAATGCTGCCTAAAGAACAGATGACACATTTTCAAAGAGGAAAATGGCTGCAAAAGAAAGCAGAGCGCTTCTGAGCTTCTTAAATACTTTATTTCGAAAGGCAATTTTAATGCTTCCAAATGATAAAACCTCCTGATTAAACCAAAACACATTTCTTGGTTTCCTACTATTTAAAGATAGAGCTTAAATGTCTGTAAGAATTTTCACTCTGGCCAGGATAGAGGAGGGACTGCGATTTCTCCTTGCACTTGAGACAACCAAAAAAATGGACACAGGACAGTTTGCAAGACAAAGAATATCAGGCAACTGGAGGCAGCAATGATCCCAGAGGAGAGGGAAACAAATGAGGTCAGCCCTGCGATTGTCCCAGTTTATTGCCTTGAGGGATTCCACACACCTGTGCCTGGAGCGAGACCTCGGGCAAAGCCCAGCAGACATTTTCTGTGGAAGAGATGCAGCTGAGATTCTGGGAAAGCAAGGAAACTCGAGTTCATAGGAAAAGTACTGAGAAGACAGAGGTACGGAAAGAGAGAGGGTGCTTTAGAGATCTGCCAAAGTTTCCACTTCAATATTCAGCGGATCACTGATCAGCACATGCATGTGCAGAAAATGCATAAGCCAGAGACAGGAGCACTGGCAAGGATCGGAGGTAATGGTACCGGGCTCCCATACCCAGGCAGAAACTGCCTGCATCTGCCAGTCCGACTGGAAAACCTCAAGATCGACAAACCAATAGCTAGAGTACCCAGAGGGGTCTTGTCTCAGTGGGAAGGAGCAAGTCAGCCCTGTCTCCCAAATCTTAAAAGGTAGATCCAAAAGGATCAAATCGTTTTCAAGTAGCTTAACTGTGTCCCAGCACAGAGCTCAAGAAAATTTGAGTAATAAAAAAAAAAAATCACCACCCAACTGGGTAAAAAGGTGAGTAGCGATTTTTTTTTTTAAAGATTTTATTTATTTGACAGACAGAAATCACAAGTAGGC